GAGGGATTTAGATAGGTTGGAGCACTGGGCAGTCTTAAATGGGGTGAAATTTGACAAGTCCAGGTGCTGTGTTCTGCACCTGGGATGGAGTAACACCAGGCACAGGGGTAAAGTGGGAGAGGAGTGGTAGGACAGCTGCAGAGGGAGGTGGGGCTGGCTGGGGCCAGGCTCCGTGTGGCTCAGCAGTGCCTGGGCAGCCCTGAGGAAACCTCATCCCAGAGCCCCGAGCACAAACCCCATCCCAGAGCACCGAGCTCAAACCCCATCCCAGAGCCCTGAGCACAAACCCCATCCCAGAGCCCTGAGCACAAACCCCATCCCAGAGCACCGAGCACAAACCCCATCCCAGATCACCGAGCACGGCACAGCCGGCCCAGAGAGGGGATGGTCCCGCTGGGCTCAGCCTTGGAGCGGCCTCAACCTGGGTCCTGCTGGGCCCTGCAGATGGAAGAGGATGGGAAGATGTTGTAATATGTTTATTTAATTCTGTTAAAATTGTTGGTATTTTGACTGATTGGTATGTTCTGGGTTTTCCCCCATTGATTGCTTTGGCTGGTTCCAGTGTCTGTCATGTAAACCCTCCTAGTTTTCTTGAATGTTCCTCATCAATCACCTTAACAGTGTCCCATCTCCCCATCCATAAACCCCACCTCTCCTTCCAGACCCTTCCTTGTATGTCATCCATTCCTCGATACTTTATTGGTTGATGTGTTACATTCCCGCCTTCTTTGTATCCCCATTGATCCCTGACATTGTAACCTCCTCCCCTTACCCCTCCCTCCATGAGCTCCCATTGGACCCTGGACTGTGCCCACCCCTGAGATAAAATCCAGTGCACAGAGGTGCCCAGGGCTCTCTTCGGTCCTGCATTCTCCCAGCCCAGTCCCTTGTGCTCATCCCCTCTCCCGAATAAACCTGTTCCTGGGAAGTACAGCCGAGTGAGTCTCCTCCATAATCCCTTTGCCACCCCCCATGACACCTGATCTGGCAGAGCCCGGCAGGATTCGGTGCTCTGAAGGTTCTGCAGTGGGATCGCCTTTCCCCTGCAGTTCCCCACTCCTGGCGACTGCCCGTGCCAGAGTGGCACCACAGAGCTAGCCCAGAGCTCCAGTGTGGCCAAGAGCAGCATCAGGAAGGTCCTTCAGTGCGTCCTGAAGAAGGAAACAAAGCTGGAACACCTCCTGTGAGGAGCAGCTGAAGTCTTTGGGCTTGTCCACTTTGGAGAAAAGGAGGCTGAGGGGTGACCTCACTGCTCTCTGCAGCTTCATGAGGAGGGGAAGGGCACCGGGAGGTGCTGAGCTCTTCTCCCTGGCCTCCAGGGGCAGGATGCATGGGAATGGTTCAGAGCTGAAGCAGGGGAGGTTCAGACTGGATACCGGGGGCATTTCCTTACCAAAAGGGTTGTGGGTGGTCAGATAGAACAGGCGTCCTGGAGACGTGGTTGATGCCCCAAATCTGTCAGTGTTCAAGAAGCATTTGGACAGTGTATAATAGCTGCCTTTAACTTCTGGTCAGGCCTGAAGTGGTCTGGTAGTTGGATTAGATGATGGTTGTACATCATCTAATTGAACAGTTTTCATCAGCTATTGAAACAGTTCCTTTCTAAATTTCTCAAAATAACTCTGCTTGAAAAAAATCAAGGGTAAGTCATTGTATTACATTGCAGTGTGATTTATCTTAGAATAAATAAATTGGTATAAATAAATAAATAATGTTGGGAAATCTACTATGTATATTTCTCTTTCTGCCAGATTACAGCGACCACATGTCTACCTGCCAGTTCACCTTTATGGCCAACTGGTGCACCATAAAACAGGCTGCCATTTATTGGAGTCTCAGGTGAGGATAATAATCACTTATAACTTGAAATACTTCAAAGATCACACAACATTTTGAAAAAAGGTTTTAAAAGAGATGGCATTTAAATAGGCATTGCAGAAGTTGATTATGCGTCTTAAGTTGTGAAGGCAGTCTTTGCCATCTAATTTCATGTAAAATTCCTTCTTGACATGGAAATATCACCAAAATTCCTTGCAACATTTTTCTTAAAATGTCTAGCAAAATCTTAGCATGGAAAGCCAATTCATAAACAGAAAAAATTGTTAGTCTCTGTGGATAGTATATTGACAGTTATACATGCGGTAAAACTATGCCTATGCTTTTAAGCATACAAAAATAGGGAGATGGGGGAATAAAATCTTCCTAATACTTTGAAAATCGAAGAACAAACCCTTAGCCATAATTGCTTAAATTCACTTTTAATGTGAGTCAGTAAAATGATTTAATGAATTGACAGTTCCCTTTGAAAAGTTTGAGAGAAAATGTATATATTACAGTGTGTTAATTTGACTAATCATCTTTATAATATCTGAAATAACTTCATGCAATTCGTGTTTTTATTATCATTTTATTTTGCATCATCGCTGCTGTTAATTTATGGTTATTATTCCCTAATTACCACTGTTCTTCCTGTAGCGTATGATTTATGTTACTGCTTTAACTTTTACTATAAATGCAAGAGGACCTGTTTGACTGAAGTCTCCTATTCATTTTCAACTTTCAACTTTTTTCTCTGTTTTTCTCCTTCAGAGTATTGTTACAGATCTAAGTTACACTGTTCGTTCCCCAATGCTGGATAAGTGGGAAGGAATTAAGCAGCTGAAAGCAGCCCTTTGGGCCTTGGTTAGTAATATATTTACAAAGTTTTGCAGTTGTTTAGTTCTACCTGTTGGTTCTTAAATAACTAACCAAAATTCTACAAAAATAAGAAATTAGGATTTTTTTCAAAAAATGTGTGTTTTTTTCAAGTTGAGATTTTTATTCTTTAATTATACTTTCAGTTGAAAATGGGTCAGTGCAACTGTTTCATTCTGAGGTTTTTAACAGTAGCTTTGTCTTTTTTTTTCTTTTTAACAAGAATAACACATTGCCATATAAATACCAGTATGGAACTGATAGTTACAAATTAAAAGTTGCCATTGTCTGAGTTTAGTATGTTTACTGTGGTAGTCCCTAATGTTTCTGCAAGGATGTTGGCTGCCAGTGTTGATCCATGTGGTCATGACATCCTGGTACTTAGGCAAAAGCCTAGCGTTGGTGTGTATCCAAGCTACAGTCTGAAATGTGCTTCTTGTCTTCCCCAAAGTTAATTTTCTTACATTTGTCCAAGGTGACAATTACTGGAAGATACTGTAGGTATGTAACAAGATGCCTGTCTAAGAGAAATGTAAAATGAATAGATCATACTGCAGGCTGTAGTAGAACTAGTAAACATGAGGAATACATAGTAGTTCTAACTCTGAGTAGCTTTAATTACTATACACAGTGTGTTGTGTGTTTTTTTGCATTAGCACAGCTAGGAAGTGCCAGAAAGGGTACTCAGATCTTTTAACTGCTTTGAGAAGATGTGGCTTCAAACTCTACTACCAGCAAACAAAATTGTCAAAGCTTTACATGGATAGTGATGGAGATCACATTAAGATTTAAATTTTCTTGACAAATTTCATTCCAGGGCAATATCGGATCATCGAATTGGGGTCTTAACTTGCTTCAAGAGGAGAATGTAATTCCTGATATAATGGCACTTGCTCAACATTGTGAGGTTCTGTCTGTTAGAGGGTATGTGTATTTGATTTATACATAAAACTTTCAGATGGTAGTTGCAATCAGTTTTCAAATAGCTGTACCTGAATTACATGAATACAGATTTTTACTTTCTTGGAAAACAGTTTATTAAAGTCACTGATGATTGAGTATCAATCTTGGTTCTATGCAGCTGCAGAATTGTGTTAGGAAGTCTGAGAGGGCATGCAGTAAACAAGTGAAATCTGTGAAAATAGGTAGATACTACTTTTGTCCTGTTCCATGAAACAAAATATGTGCTGATAATACCTCTGTGAGAATTTATTATTCCATCTTTTTTATAAAACATCTTTTTAAGATATTTAAAAGCATAAGTAGATGGTATTTTGTCTAATATTGCTACTACATTAATGTTTGACCTTTTTTTCGAGAGATACTTTTCTACTTTATGTGATCAGGCTCTTGTGCTGATTTTTATTTTTTAGTAGTATCTTGTTCTCAGATATATTAGTGAATTTCTTAAGCTTACATTGGTTTTCAAATAAAAATTTACAGTATACTATTTGCCAGTTTTGTGAAGTTTCTCCTGAATTTCTTTGAAACTGTTTCCTTTCAAATGTGAAATAAGTTGGGTTAAAGTAGGTGCTATTATTGTTGCTCTTTTTTTTCGTTAAATACAGAACCTGTGTCTACGTGCTTGGTCTAATAGCCAAAACTAAACAAGGATGTGACATTTTGAAGCATCACAACTGGGATGCAGTAAGACACAGTCGTAGACAGCCTTGGCCAGTGGTCCCTGATGACATGGAGCAGCTCTGCAATGAACTTTCTTCTATACCCAGCACTCTTAGCTTGAATTCTGAGTCTACCAGTTCTAGGCACAACAGTGAAAGCGAATCTGCTCCATCAAGTAAGTAGCCAGAGCACCAAAACAAGCAAACAGGAGGAAAATGAACAAGCAAACAAAAAATAAACCTGCCGAGTGCCCAACCCACCACAAAAAGTGTTTTGGTGCTCTTACCAACATTTGGCAGACCAGTGGTGTCAAGATGGTCTTGGAATAAAACAGTACAAGCAATAGGACAGTTATGTCCATTTAGAGACATGGAGACAAGTCAGAGGGAGCAAAACAGTGTCTTAGCTTTGCATTTGATGTAGAAGAATAATTTTCATATTTTCATATGAGGGTATGGTACTAATTTTTATATTGTGTTACGGCAGTTTGCTGTAACATGCAAACCACCATGCTTTTATATTAAGTTACACTTGGTTGTCCATAAAGAAATATTCTAGCAAATAATTATGTTCCCTGGGTGTACACACGCAGACAAAATTTTGCTCTATTTAAATAGTGTATTTACCTAATGCACCATATTTTTTCTATGGATATTTGCAATTTAAATTAAGAAATATACTACATTTAGGTATCATTAAAGGTGATCTTAGGTTATAATCATAGTAGCTAGATGTTTGCACTGAAACGTTATAGTGTAGCTTTTCTTTTGAAGCAATGAGATCTTCAGCTCAGTTTCTCCTCAAGGTAGCTAATTTGCACCAAGTTCTGCAGAAAAAAAAAGAATTCAAGTTGCAGTAAATTTCATAGGCACACACTTGGACTTCTATAGAATGGCTTCCTATTTTGCGACATAGTTTGTAGACTTGAAGAAATGCCTATTTGGTGTGACAAAGTCTCATATAATTTCAGGTATGTTCATCATGGAAGATGACCGTTTTGGTAGTACTTCGACCAGTACTTTCTTCCTAGATATTACTGAAGATGCAGAACAAATATTTTATGACAGACCTGGACCTTCAAAGGACAAAGACCGTAGTCCTTTCCCTTTTTTTTCATCTAGTAGACTTGTAAAAAATCGCATTCTAAATTCTCTTACTCTGCCTAATAAAAAACACAGAAGTAGCAGTGATCCAAAAGGAGGAAAGATGGCATCATCTGACAGTAAATCAGGCCTGAGGCGAAATCGTACAGTAACAGAACCTAGTGGTAGCATTGACTTTCCTGCTGGGGAAGAATTGAACCCTGTTTTCAGAGTTCCAAAAATCCAGACTTTACGATTAGAAACTTCTTTTGTTGGAAGTAAGCATGTGGAAGATACTGATTGTACTCAGAGTATTGGAGAAAATGATCTGAAGCTGCCAAAAGGTCTTGGAAATGAAATTCATCGGGAAAACACAAGCAAAGAAAGGCTAATAGGAGGAGATGGTACTACACAAACGCATTTCAAGAGTCGTAGCTTAAGTTTTAACACAGATACCACAACAAGTGGCATAAGTTCAATGAGCTCTAGTCCTTCAAGGGAGACTGTAGGTGTGGACACTACAAATGTAGATACTGACTGTGGAAGTTTGAGTACTGTCGTAAGCACAAAAACAGTTAAACCAAGTCACTGTTCAACACCACAGTCTAACCACCTGCCTCTCTCAAAATCCAACTCGGTATCCCTGGTTCCACCAGGCTCTTCTCATACCCTACCTAGAAGAGCCCAATCTCTTAAAGCTCCTTCTCTTGCTACAATAAAAAGTCTTGCTGACTATAACTTCAGCTACACGAGTTCTCGAGATGCGTTTGGCTATGCTACACTAAAGCGCCTGCAGCAGCAGAGGATGCATCCCTCACTGTCTCACTCAGAAGCTCTGGCATCTCCAGCAAAGGACGTGCTGTTTACTGACACTATCACCATGAAGTCTGGCAGCCTGGATTCTCGACTAACCCCAAGCCGGTAAGAAATTACTGTGTGCTTATTTCTTACTTCAGTGCTGTAAGAAAACTTAAACATGCTCCTGATATTTTTTTGATCCACACCTAAAAGGGATAGTTGTTGGAAGATGATTCATAACTTCACTGAAAGCAGTACTGGTATGAAGTGAGTAACAGAAAGATAATTCTCAACTTTGTAAGTGCTGTCAGAGAAGCTCAGCTTTCATAGTTGTGCTCAACCCTTTATAATGCTGTTGGTAACAAAAGAAACAGCTTACTTTTATCACATTTGTTTCCTGTTTTAACTTTTATAATATAAAAAATGCAGTTGCACTGCTAGCATTATTAAAGTTCCAAACACTGAATTGCCCATGAAGTCAGAGCTATATTTCAGAGGAGAATTTTCTCTATGTCACTTGGGGAGGTTTTAGGACAGGGCCTTCTGCCAATATGCTATATTTGTGTTCACTGTGCCACTGAGGCCAGCGATGAGATACTGGTACCACTGATAGGAATGTCAGTTTGGCTTCTGAGCTACAGCAGATGAAAGATTTTACTCATAGCATTTATTTTTAGATGGCAGTGTCACCTCTTTATTTTTGAGCAATATTAGATGTTCTGAAGACTAATTAGATAGTTATGTAAGACGTCTAGCTCTTGACATTGACATTGTTCCCAGCTGCAACAGTCACTGTTTAATAACCTTCCCTTAAAAGCTCTTGTATTAGATTTTGCCTTCACATCATCTTTTAGCTAGTGCATTGGATTTTCACATTACTGTTGAAATGGAAAAGGCACTTTTTATCTCTGTTCTTACCTTATCATCTCTTGAATGAGAAGGGGCAGATGCTACCAGTACCTGAGTCATCTGCCTACTGCAGAAAAAGCAAGTGCTTAGTCCTTGAGCTGCCCTCCTCATACCCAGTTGAGTGTGTTTGTCCTGATTGAAAGAAACATCCATTTGTTGGTATTTTCACATCATTCTGGACAGGTGCCTTGAAAGATGCCTTTGTTCTGGAGCTAGACTGAATATGTCAGTTACGTTAAGGATGATTTAGTAGTTTGCCCATGCTATCCTGGAAGCTGGAAGTGCCATTCATGTCTGCACTGCTCCGTGCTAGTACAGGAACAAACATCATTTCAGTGGTAGTACAGGTTCTGTAATGGCTGTAAGTAATCTTTTACCATTCCTTGCAGTCATGTCCTTAATGTGCAGAGCAGCCTTGCTGCAGTGGACTTTGATCCTGCACGCAATGTCATACTGACTATTCCTGGTGCTTAGCTGTTCAAGTTCTCTTGTGTCAGTGGATAGAGTCAAGGATTTGAGCTGACCTGCTTAACACTGAACTGAAATGTCTGGAGTGCTTGTATCTTCGAGAAGGTTAAATAATTGCAGACATACATACTCAAAGAGAGATTCAGATTGTGTTAGTTGCTAATTTAATTGATTGGATTGACTGTAATGTAACTAGTACATGTGTTCTTGCTGGTTATGCTGTGTCCCCACTAAAAAAATTATGGTATTTATAATTTCAGATTGTATTTACTAATAAATTCATAGTACATTTACTGGTCCAGCTAAAACTGTGCTTAGCTGCTTTTTAAAAATAAACTAGAAATACAACTTCTGCCCTTTTTTGACCCAAATAAATTCTTCTGACAGTCTTCAGAAATCTTACTGACGGTTTATTGACAGATTCATGTGTTAGTAGCAACTAAGTCATAGAGTTACATTTGCAATGTTTTTGTTGTTCTTTTTATTCAGAAGGTTAAAAAACCTTTTTCTTCGCATAGATTTTGTGAAATAAATTTGTCATCTTTGTCTCTAAAGACCAACCAGAAATACTGATGTGCATATCTTGGATCCTGATGGATCCATGGTGGCTCTCACCCTGTCGCCTGCAGACATTCTTAATGATAAACACTTGGTGGTGTTTATCATTACTAATGCTGTATCTGTTAGCTTTTCTAGGAAAAGCAGGGACAAACGTTTGGGATTAATAGTTCTACCTTTAATTTATGTTGAGGGTAATTGTAGAATGTTTTATTACTAAATATTTAATGCACTTGGTAACTTCTTGAGTTTAATGATTATACAATTTCTTAGGCTGGAAAAGACCCTTAAGATTGAGTCCAGCTATTAGCACAACATGCCCAAGTCCTCCACTATACCATGTCCTTAAGTGTGATATTTGTATGTCTTACAAATGTTTTCAGTGATGGTGACTCAGCTACTTCCCTGGGCAGACTGTCCCAATGCTTGACAACCCTTTCAGTGAAGAAGTTTTTCTTAATATCCAATCTAAACCTTCTCTGATACAACTTCAGGTCTTTCACCTCTTTTTGAAGTATGGCTTGACTTCTGTTGTGAGTCCACTGCTACTGTTGCTAGCATTGGTCAGAATTACCAACAAGAAAACTTTTTATCTTCTCAGTTGTATTTTGTGCATTTCCATTGCATAATATTTTCTTGAACCTTCCATGGTCAAACTTTCATAATTTAATTTTATTTCAATATAAATCCCATCTGTAGGGATAAGAGGACAGTTTATTGCCCATCTAAAATAAGAAATTCATAGAAAACTTCTTCCAAGGCAAAAAGTCAAAAAATAAAATGTTCACTTCACCCTCCAATGTGTCATAATTTACAATAAAAAATTCACTGTTCCTGAGGTGTGTCTTTTTATTAGGAAGCTTTAATCCAGTGCATATAGGCCTACATCTACAGTCTACATAGATTGATTCTCAGAAAACATTTTTAGGATTTTTTTGTTTGATAAGAAGTAAAATAATAGATGGCCCAATGTGAAATTTCCATCATCAGGTATCTGGTCAGCACTGAGGACTTGTTTTCCAGCTTCTTCACTCCTGTCTTATTTTTCCATCCTATTTCTTTCTTTGTTCTTCAAGCAGTTTGTCACAGTCAGTTCTGCTTACTGTGCAGCAGGTTTAAGTTTGTTCTTCATGCAGTCATGTTGAGCAACTACTTCCTCCATGCTTGGATGACCTCCTGGGTAGCTCCTTTGGAGTATGAGACAAAGAATGTTCTTGTGTGTATCACTGGTAGGCTCAAGGTGTGCCTTTGCAGGGATGTGCCTGCTCAGCCCAGAGCTTGTGAATATCCAGGAAATATACATTCAGCATATTTCAAAATTAGGTGTAAGGAGTTTAGAAGCCCAAATCTTTACTGGCTGTGTCTGGGCTGTAAATATTCAAAGCTAGAATGCCGAAGAAAACGCATGGTTTTACGGGATGGGCAGGATTTCCTGTACCAAGAATTATAAAGAAGAAATTTTTACTCCATGAACTCCTAAACCATGCAAAACAATATGAGGCAGTAAAAACACTAAGCCTATCGCTGTAATTTGTCCTAACAAGCTTGGAGATCTGTAGTGGGAAGATGAAGATTGTGTTTGTGTCAGCAGTCTTTCTTACTTTGAATGTGCCAGAATGAGAGAGTAACTGCAGTTGTGATTTATTTGTTTCACTGTTACAGGTTCATGAAAGCTTTAAGTTACGCTTCGTTAGATAAAGAAGATTTATTAAGTCCTATTAACCAAAACACACTTCAGCGTTCCTCCTCTGTTCGCTCCATGGTTTCTAACGCTACTTATGGTAGCTCTGATGATTACATTGGCCTTGCTCTCCCGGTGGATATCAATGAAATATTTCAGGTGTGTATGTGTTAACTGATTTGGTTCATTTTCATGCTGAAAGGCAGTCAGCTGTAGTATTTTCATGAGAATAAATTAGATCTAGAGAAATGAGGAAAAATTATGTACTTTAAATAAATGCATTTTGGAGAACTAGAGTTTCCTTTCTAACTGTTCTTCTAACCTTGTTAACACAAGATCACTAGGTTGGTTTGTGTTAAAGGCAAATAATGGCAAAGACGGTGTCAGAGGAGTGTTAAGCAGTGGTGACAAATTTGCTGCCATAAGATTTTTAGTTGACATCTGGGTTTTATGTTAAAATTGGCATAGTCTGTGCACATTTGTTAATTCTGCTTTAGCCAACCAATAACTGACATGTTATCAGTCACCTTTAAATTGCGTGCATAATCACACAGTTAACTCTGTGCTACCATGATCTGTATTAAATAATAGATTATTTTTATATATATCCTTATACAATTAAATTATATTGTCTTAGTGTTGAAGATACATGTATTTAAGTTAGAACAGATTACTTTCAGTGCCTCAGCAAATCCCTTCATCTTTCTACTTGGTAGAAACACACTTCTGTTTAATAAACTGCTGCATCATAGGGTTTCATATTCTGTTACTTACTTATCAAAACCAGGGTGTAGTCTATGTCAAAGTAGGCTTCTTTATGTTCCTTAGTCTTTGCATTTCAAATCTAAATAAATTATTTCTTACTTATTTCTTACTAATGCTAAACACAATTCAAAATCATGTTGAATTTGCTTCTGTTTTTCCTTTGTGAAATGACTACTTTTTCTTTCTCCTTCAGTCTTTTTGGCATAGTTGTTACCTCATTTAGTCTCTCTCAGATATTTTTGCAGTTGAGACATGCCTCGGCTTTACATCCTTACAGGCAGCATTTTAGATGTCCTGGTTGCTTTTGTACTATATTCCCAAGATCTCCAGTGCTGTAGCATGATCATGGACAGATTATGAATGGCCACTGTGGGTCACTGGTTTCCTTACAGCCTGTCACCACCATTTTAACGTTTGCTAACTTTTCATGAACCTTTGCTAATAAATGTTCGTTCACAAATGTATATTTTTCTCATTTGTCTTTTCTTTAGTACGCAGGAGTTCCTGCTTAATTTCTTCCTCTCATGATATATTTTTCCTGAAGTAAAAGATAGGCAACACTTTATTTCCTCATATCGAAAAATCTATTTTTTTTTCTCGTGTTTGATTATCACCTCTGTTAATTTTAATTTTTGCTTGGGTATTCCAGGTAAAAGAAACTCCATATTTCCAGAAGAAAACTACACCTCCATTTGATGAACATGGATCTAGGGTCTTTACATCTGATACAGGAGGTACTGGTTTTATTTCTCTCTTGTAGCTTTCTGTATATTTGTATATTGGGTGGGTTGTTGATTTATTTGTTAATTTTTCTTTACAGAAAACATCATTTTAGCTGTTAAGCTTTGAGGACTGTATTCTGGCATCAGGATAGCAGGGCATTAATTCCTTGTTTTATTTAGTTTGAGCTAATGTGTTGCTTCAAAGTTTGGTTCTGCGCTAAAGTGTGAAGGAGGAAAGCCTGCATATCTCTGATAAAGAGCTAATACTTCTCCAAGTCTGGTAGTGATGCTGTATTACAGGAATTAACAAAATTTAAGTTTAGAAAAATATGAATCCCACGTGTTGAACTATTTCCCTTTGATTACATGTTCATTTATAGGAACTTACTATGGTGTTAGATACGTAGATACGTAATTCAGAAAGTAAATTGTCTTTCTGTGATGCATCCATGACAATTGATCAGTGAAGGTGATGGGACAAGAGAATTTCAAGTCCTGTAATGCCTGGTTTGCTCTGGAATGTATCTCCTATTTACTCCAGAGAAGTAAGAGGTCTGTAGGGTCTTAGTATGTGTCTTTTCAACTGAAAAAAAGAAGGCTTGACACTGTTTTTTTTAATCGCTTATTAGGATAACTGTTTTGGGTTTTTTTCCCCTTTCATATTAATATTGTACACAAAGATGATTTTGCTGGAAGTGTGTTTCTGTAGTTTGCAAAGTTTCAGTGTAAAGAAGCTCTTGTTCAAAATTGTATTTGTTTGTTTTTTCCACCCAGGGAAGAGCATGTCACTAAAGTGTGTTCTGCTTGTTTCTGCATTGCTGAGTCTAGTTTCTTCCTGTCACGGCCACTAAGTTACAGTTCTTTAAATTGTGTTTATTTTTGCATTTGTGCATGTCTAATTTCAACATCTGGTATATTGTATTAATCTCGTTTGACACTATGAAAATTGGTAATGTGTTGGTGTTACGTGGGTATTAGTAATTTTGACACCATGTCAGGATTTACCACTTACCTTCTTACAGTGTGTATCTTAAGAGACTGAATTCTGTCCTTTGCAATGTTTTGTTATGTATAATAAGTTGGGACCAAAACTTTGTCTCTTTCTCAAATGCTAACAATCTTGAGAGTTTAACCACTCAGAAAAAAAACTCTATAGTTCTTCACATGCACTCCATCCCCAGCTTTAAAAGGCTTGAAAGTGGAAATTAATTGAAAGAGTTAGTGTTGGTTACTTGGTTTTGTTGGGAGTTTTTTAATAACTGAATCTTACCTACAGGTCTTCCATCAGGTGCGAGTGATGTTGTCAAAAGCCCTTTTCAGATGCTCCGCCAGCAGATCAGTCTCACAGAAATCATGAATACCAGCCGTTCAGATGCCTGTCAGTTCTTGGAAGGTACAGAGGACACAGGGCTCCAGGAGCACACAGATGAGAACTGTCTTTACTGTGTTTGCATTCAGATTCTGGGTTATCAGCCTAACACCAAAGTGAGCTCTTCCTATAATCGTTCAGGTTAGTGTTCCTTGTGGAGAAGTGTGATAAAAAAACTGAGTGAACATACGGGCTTTTGTTCATCTTTAAATAATCTGGAAGGGTTTTTGTTTAACTGGCTATTGACTTTAAAATTATTTCTCTAATAAACTAATTGTGCAACCAGTGGTATTGGTATGGTCATTTCCAGCTTTCCACTTTTTAGTGTTAGTAGGAGTAGGTGCCTGCATGTTTCTTTTAATGTTCTTAAGAGCGTGTGAAAATTAGAGATTTGAAACCTTATTTAATACTTAAAATGCATGTCCTGAAAATCGACACTTGCTGTTCAACTAATGAATAGTCTGACATCAAATCAAGGCTGTGCCATAAAACACAACAAAGGAGATCTGTGGAGTCTGTTGAAGCTGAGCTGTAATTTCTGGGATTTAGTCATCTTCCCTAATACTTTGAGATTCAGATGAGATTCAGAGTTATTTTTTCTGACCTTCTCTACAGAGCTTACAGCATGTCTTTTGTCTATTCCTGTGATAATCCAGTATTGAATGCTTAGTAGGAATCCTCACTGTTTGACAACACTGTTAGACATTTGTTAGTAGCAATGTTGGCAAAGGGGGTGATACACAAATATGAGGAATGGCTCAGAGAGCTGAGCTGGAGCTTGAGTTCAATTGCAAGAAGGGGTGACAAATGAAATCCCAGCTATAGTTACAGATGCAGCAGAACCTGGCTTTTGCCAGAGCCCTTCCCTTCAGTTGTGTGAACAAAAAGATGTCTGCACATGCAAGAGCATCTCTATTGTGTTACATAAAACAGAGCATGGATACATCAGTAACATTAGTATTTGTGATGGCTTCTTAGGCTTCCATCAGTGTCTGGAAAAGACTCCACTCATGTGTTTTAAGATTTTTTTTTTTAAAAAATCAATTTTGGAAGAGTTTGAGTATGATTTGTCCAGAATTCACCATCTAGTTGTGAGCTGATTTTATGGCTAGTACTTAGTGCATCAGTGTTATTATGAATGCTGGCCATTGTTGAAAAATAATGAAAGCATGTGAATTGAGGAAAAGTGTGAATAATAAAGGTACAACATCTTGTTTATGTCAGATTTTTCAGACATTCCGTATACTGACTGGTGTGGGCAGACCATTCACAATCACTTAGATGTGCATTCCTCCAAATTTTCTGGAATTTCAGGCTGTAGTGATGCAGTATCCCATGGTTCAGCCAGCAGCACCAAGAGTACAGAGCTTGTATTAGGTAAGTTTGAAAGCATTACAATTATTAGAGACTGTCACTAATAAAGTATATTTTAGGCAGTCTGAAAAAATTATATTTCACTTATGTACACTGAAAAGAATTAACGTTCTTCATTAGACAAAAAACAAACACAAATGTAAGTAAAAACATCATCTATCTCCAGGTGGGGGAGAATACTGTTCTGAACTCTTTTCCCTCTGTTATACAGCATTTTTGCAGATTATTCAGTACTTGACATTACAAGCAAATCAATTGCCTTTTTTTTCTACAGATGTTAATTTATAAAGAAGTCTAAGAATTACTAAATTACTGTAAAGAGAGACTTCTTTTATATACTTACGTATTGTATTTTGAATTTCAGTGGTTTTCATGAAGTAGCTGCCTTTTAAATTCTCCATTATCTGATAGAAGCTCATTCAGTTTGCAACACGGTTTAGTGGTAACAATACTACTGTAACTTTATATTGCAGGTTTTTCTTTTAAATGGCAGAAATGGTAGAAATATTTTTGAATATTCTTGAAAAGGAAAACTCTTTAAATTCCTGAAAATAGTAGTGTTCTAATTTCAGTAGAAATACTTTCAAAAGCTCGGAATACATATATAAATATGTATGTTTGTGTGTGTATGGCATGCATAAACAGACTTACGGTATAAGATTAGCTCATACAAAGATAATTCTGTTTAAATTTACACTGTTTTATTTGTTTTTCCAGGAGTAAAGTCAATCCCAGATGACACACCAGTGTGCAGGATACTTCTGCGGAAGGAGGTCTTACGTTTAGTTATCAATTTGAGCAGTTCAGTAGGAACTAAGGGCCATGAAACTGGTCTTCTGACGTAAGTCCAGTACATTACAGATACTTTAGCAACACTTAATCATAAGTATTCTCTTAAGGTCTCAGGACAGTGAATAATCTCACTTCTCAAAAGTTGTCAGGCAGATATCAATGAATGTAATGTAGAAGCCAAACAAATAACCTTAACATTTTTGCTCTGTGTTTAGTATTTTACTCTTAACCAAACCTTTTTAAATCACTAATTCACCTGTAATTTGTAGTGTGTATGTAGTGTAGCATGTATCTTTAAAAAGACACTTTTTTTTTATTATTTTTGCTGAATAATACATAAGTACAATAACAAACTGAAAGTGACTTCTTGAGAAACCCAGCTCTACTTTAAGCAAGGGTACAACTCCTGAAAGTAATTTATTTAAAAAATATATTTAAATACAGGAATAGAAATCCAGGGACTAAATATTATAACCTGTAGGTTTCTGGGCTTGTGACTTTGGAAACCAACAATTGCTGAAAGAAAGCACAGAATAGTGTGGTTTAGTTTCAAAAATGCTTACAGGTTTAAAAGATGAGTTTAGTATTTTTTCCTTAATTTTTATGACTGCTGTACATGTGGATGCCAATTAGTCTATACACTGTTCTCTTTCTGTTATTTTAAGCCTAGGCAATCACAGTAGTTCGGTACAACTTACAAGTTGTATATTCTGTTTCATCTCATTGGCATAGATTTCTTCCAGGTTTGTACAAAGTAATGTTGTTTGCTCTGATTTTCCTACTCTGTCAGTTGTAGGATTTATAATGCCTATTACTAAAGAATTAATGATGACAATTTTATTGAAAAGTTTGGGCTTTTTTAATACAATGGAAATCTTTCCAGGACTTTAAAAATTCTGTTTCTTCCCTTGTTCAGAATTAAGGAGAAGTATCCCCAAGCATTTGATGACATATGCCTTTACTCTGAGGTGTCCTACTTGCTAGCACATTGTACATTTCGACTTCCATCCCGAAGGTTCATTCAGGAGCTATTTCAAGATGTTCAGTTCTTGCAGGTAAGTGGGGGGTGCACATGCACAGAAAATACCAAAATGGCTGGCTGGCTGTAGGTTCCATGTCCTGAGTAAAAGATGCTTTCAGATAGATACACCTAAAGGAAACCATTTTGTGAGGTCTCCCAAGGAAAATCTCTAGAAATATTAATTCTCTGTCCTTTCCTTTTAGATGCATGAGGAAGCAGAGGCTATTTTGGCAACCCCTACGAAACAGCCTGTAATCGATGCATCAGCTGAGTCCTGACCTCTGCTCAGGCAGTGCTCTGCATATGGACTTTGAAATGCTCAGACAACCTCCCACTGACTGGATAAAAAGTTTGGAACATCATCTTCAAAACCTTCCAGAAGCTACTGGTACCTGAAGACTGAACTGAAAATATTTTCTTCCTCAACCAATTACTGGCACAGTCATTTGAGCCCTTTGGGGATTTATTAGACATTACCATAGTTTTAATAATAGTAATTACTAGTATATGCAAGAGCCAAGCACTGAACACCTCCACAAGTTTTCATTTCATTTTCTACCATAAATTACGAAGAAATAGGACAACTTGCAGAGACATTTTTAATTGACTTCCGATTCTGTTCCAGAGAAGCAGAATGATGCCTTGCTTTTTAAACCCTGGATACCAGGAATCAGAGAGATGGGGGTGCATTCCACTGCCAGCAATGGGGAGCCATGCTGTAGTTGTGGGCACCAGGGGATTAATGTTAGCCCTTCTCTGTTGATTTTTGTACTGTTTATAACACTACTTTGGGGATTTGTAACTTCAGACAGAAAGAAATGCCTCTGAATCTGAGGTTTCATTAAGTTATTTTAATATTGCTATAGTTGTAAGACATTTTATTAGCAGTTTCTTCGATTTCATTGCATTTACATACATGTATCTTATCTGAACCAGTTAAGGATTTTCACTACAATTTTATTTTCAAAACAAGTCATTTAAAATTTAAAGTGCTGAAATCAGATTGTTTTCCCTGAATACTATGCATGTGTTTGCAGTTTCTACACTCATACTCATATAGTACAAATGTGGGTCTTACTCAACTACAATCCTTTAAAAAGCATGATTTGTATCAGATAAGCAAATACTGTATAAACTGAATTTGAAGACATTTAATCATTGCAGGTTTTGTGAGGAGACTTAAGTATGAGTGTTTTCCAAGTTCCACAGAAACAGCTTTTTATAAAAACAAAGATTTATTTGAATTTTCAATGGATTAGTGATCAAGCATCAGATAGTACTAATAATTGTAGTGAAAAGCCTTAAGTAACAAATTTTGGAGCAGCCTACTTATAATTTTGTACTGGTATTTAGGACTTGTTGCAAAAGTTAAATGATACAGTGACTGGTAATGATTGAAGTAGTTGCCTCTATCATGTTACTAGTGCCGTTTCTAAACTAGTAAGTGCAAGCTAAAAAAAAAAAAAAAAAAATAGTAGGAATCCCTGTCACTTTGATTATGGATCTAAAGATTCAGAAGCCTTTATATAAAGGTAGTATAAATATATGCAAATGTGTATATACAGTAGCATGGCCACCTTTGTTAGAATGCCTGTAATAGAAGGGGTTACCCTTTGATTTTGATATAGGTGAATAATTCAGCTGGACTGTACTAAGTAGAACGTATTTTTATCCATTCACTCCTACCATTTTTTATAATTGTCAGATTAATTCTTAAGTGAAATTTATCCTGATGCTCATATCTCTGTTCTTACTAGCTATGCTACTGGAGATTTCAATAAGTAGTCCTGTGAACAGTAACACACAATTCCTAGTGAAACGTAGAATTTATTTGTTCTTACTGGAAATTTCATCATGCCACATAAGCACTGCTTTGCAGCTATCACTTCACTGAACTCCTATGTGCACTGCATACTTTCAGGTTCTGGTAAAGCAGACTGTAAGTTGCTCCTCAGTCAAATTTAGTTCCTAAGATTATCTTTTCATAAGTTCCCACTGAAAGGAGCAAAACAAAACTGATTGAACTCTTCTATGGTCATTGACACAAATAATACATCTGTGTGGCAAGACATGTTTGAAATGCTTAGAAAACACACCACACCAGTAACTATTGGACTTCTGGTAATAAGAAATAAATGCTTCTGTAAAACCAAAATGTCAATCACAGTAGACCAAATAGTGGTATAAACTCCAAAGGAAAATAATGTAGTTTTCCCACAAATGGGGATAGCGTATGTTATACAGTAGTTTCAAACACTACCTCAGTTAGGCTAGAGTAGAAGAGATTTGTTTTAATAACTAAATGGGGTTACATCAAACAACTCCATGTTATTTTTCTGCAGTTAAGGCAAGATAAACAAGTTTTATCACTTGTATTTAAAAAAACCCACCTCTGTTCATTTGTTAAGTTTAACCCATAGCACTTAATGTAGAAAGTCATAGGAAGGCCTCTGATTATAGAAAGGTAAGCAAATATACTTTTGAAAGAATCTCCATCCTGAATTGCTCATGTATTCTGAATAACGCGCTTGTGTGGGGATCCGTGACAACAGAAACTTGACATAAAAAATTATGGCTGCAAATTCAGTTATGAAGCGTGGTTTTTCTTCTGAAAGTGTATGAGTGTCAGTAGATTTCAACAAGTATGCATCAAGTCTGTATTGTATATAACATACATTTCTAGAAAATTAATTTACACACTGACATTAAGCTCACATTGATGTTTCACTTTAATTGGCAGACGAAGGGGATACTGTTATTGAAGGAAATTTATATTGGCTTAGTTATAAACTGTGAATTTCTAATTTTATAGTTCTCTTTGTTTTTTTCAATGTCCCTTTCAAAGTCCTTATTTTGGAGTTTTATTTGTGTCATGATAAAGCTTTGAAAGAAAGCTGTAGTAAATAATGATTGTTCTTACATTAGCCCTAATAAAAAAAATCTCTTCCACTTCTCCTAGGGAAGCTGACAGACCACCCACTTTTTAGATTTCCAGTCTGAGTGATTGGTGATACTGCTCAATAAATGGCAACATGTGTAGCATTCACTTACACTCTGTACAAATGCAGTTTGGTTGCTGTGGCACAGAAAACACCTCAAGGACTCAGCTTGCTCACACACAGCTCAGAGGTGGGAGCCGCTCCGGGAAGGAGAGGCTGTTTGTGGAACCAGTCACAATTACCATCAGCTACCTGATTCTCTTGGTCTACTCTTACAGGCAGGGGAAAGGGGAGCCCTTTCCAAAGAGGAGAGAGCTGTCTGACTGACAAGCACCCAGGCACCTCCGTAAGGACCTGGTCCTCACCACAAAGGGAGGGAGGATGAGGCTTGGGGGATGAGTGTCTCCTTTTGGAGAAGGAGAACTTTTCACCTCTCTGAAATTCAGAAATGCAGAACACTTCCAGCCGTTGTGGACATCACTTGGAGCTAGATATGGTCAAGCTTTGAAGTTTCCAACTCACGTGGAATCCCTGGCATGTCGTGCTTGAAACAGTTGCTTTTCCTCATCTGACAGCTCTTACTTGACTGATGTCTGACAGAGGTACCCTAAATGCGCTCTCTTGTGGGAGGTGGTGGTTATTTCCCTAAATGGAGTTTTGAACAGTTCACTAGTTGTGGGTGCAGTGGCTTAGGACACTGAGGTAAGCTGCCCTTATAAACATTCAGAAGGTATCTGTGAGAATCCTGCATGTCTTTCCGATTTCACTTTGAAACATAGTGGTCTGGAAAGGAGAGTTGTGGTTTGCAGTGAGACCGAAAACAAAACCGAAGCGCCTCTCCTAGGTGCCTGAAGAGTAAGGTAGCTGTTCAAGAAATAGACTGTAACCAAAACCTAGTGAGGGATGGAAGAGTTGCTGCTTTGTAGTCTGTGCCTTGGGCTTGGTGTTTGGCAGTTTGGGCAGCAGGAACCTGGCACAGCTTGTAAGCGAACATGAGCTCAGGTGTGTGGCAATCGCAGCGGAAGAATTCTCACCAGGCTCTGAGGTCCTGCTCACCTCCCCACTGTCCTGCTTCTCTGAGCTGCACTGGAGCCACTTGAAAGCAGGTCCAGTAACTTACTTGTTTTTTTTAAGTTACACTTCTATTACTGTGTGCATATGAAAGGTATACAATGTGAGAGCAAACAACTTTTACAACTGTAAAAGACTTTTGACGACATGCTAAAAACCATGTTTTTGTTTTTCTGGAGGTCTCCAGTCTCCTTGGTTTTCATTTAACTCCAAGTGCTGGTTCCCTAGATAATTTTGTTTTCAACAGATTTATAGTCATTAAAAAAATGTGGATTTTCTTTGGGTTATTTTTGTAGTGTAGATAGACATCAATGCCACAGCATGCAGAAATTGCACATTTTGCTTGAGTTGCTTTTTAAAATACACTATTTTATTTGCAAAATGTAAGTTATGCCAAAAAATGTAACATCATTTTGCCACTGAATAGGGTGTTTCAGCACAAGATACTATGTCTGAAGGGGAAAAAAGACTCTACATTTTGTAAATCTAATTGAAAAACTGTTTCAATACTGGGCTGTCAGCATCCCTAAAACTGCATTACAAGACATTATCTAAATTAGTAATTCTGAGGGAAGGGATCAAGAAAAATCTCAATACTTATTCTCCCTGTCCTGTGTGGTCTTTTTTTTTTGTTTAGTAATACGCTGCTACATATTTGGAGGTTCTAGTGTTTGTAGGTCACTGAACAGACATTGAAATCTGATTTATATTGTATACCTGTAACATAGAAAGAAAAAGTATTTATATATTTTACGTAAGAATATTGCATTGAGCTGTGTATAATTTAAACAGAGGCTTGTCCCAAAATGGTATTGCCCACTTTGATTTTTTTGTGTGTTTTTCTTTTTTCTTTTTCTTTTTTTGTATACTGTGTACAGTTCATGTCAACGAGCATTAAAGGCCTCCTGAAGCGTAGTCTTATCAAAGGGATGAGTTGTTAATAAAATGTACTTAAACTTATAGTTGTTCTGGTCTCCTATGTACCTTTCAGCATTAGAAAGGATTTGGAATTTAATTTATATTTGTAAGTTACTAGTTAACTAGAACAATCAGAAGCTTCCCAAATATTTTTTTTTATCAAAAACATATTTTACATTAATGCTTTATAAGATACAGAGACTCTTTAATAGTTTACACACCATTTTTATTATTTTAAGAATTTAACATACTGAGAATAATTTTCTCTTATGTGATGGTTTAAGTATTAGCATTTCAACAACAGCTGTGAAAGTTGCATTATGAACAAAAAAAAGGGACTACAGTTTTGAATCATTCAACCATTAATGCAAGACAGATGTTTCAATATATAAAAATTATACACACTTCTCAATATATGCCAAAATACTTTTCTAATCTTCAGTTCTGGTGCCCAGACTGTGCCCTTTGACTGTCACAGAGGCATTATCCTTCCTGGAATCCTCTATTTGTGTGCTTTTTATGCACAGGAGGTTTCACAAAGCACCACCCATCTGAGCCAGGAAGCAGAAGGGTTTAGGGAAAGAGGAGCCTTTCTTTCTTCTCCTTCCCTCATCCAGCAGTCTGGATCTGCATCCAGATAATGGAATTTCATCGGAGCAGGATCTCCCCAGGAACAACCAGGGGATTGAGAGGTGGGAACTCAGCCAGGCCCATGTGTCTCACCCCACCATCAGGAAGGCACAACCAGCTGAACCCACAAACCCCTTCATTCACTTCCTGAGTGGAATGGCTGCAGACAGGTCTCAGTGATAGCAGCTTTTTCAAAGCAGGGAGTTGTGCCTGGTTGGAGCTGTACCCCTGGCAGGAGGAACTGCAGCAATGTCAAAATTTAAAATGCTTTGTGTGATAACTCTGGTTTCTTTGACAACTATGTATGAATTCCTTAGTACATGACTCTTATTTAGAATACCTTTTCAACATTATAGAATAAATACACCTTTTTCTGAAATGTACAGCTCAGAAGTTTTGTATCAGCTGTGACAATGCAGCTCCCATATGTTTATTGGCCTTTTTTCCAGCAGTAAAGCTTTTAAGCTACACAAGTACCTACAATGTGATGAAGCACTCTGGAGAAGCAAGCTTTCATATGCATTATTACTCAAAGAAGAGGTTAAGATAAAGGGAGGATGTTTCCCTGGGATGTATCCATCAAATAGCATCAGCCTTCTCCCTTACCCTCCTCATTCCCTTGCCCTCCAGCAGAACGTGCCCAGCTGTTCCCTTACTCAGCTGTCTGGAGGCTGGAAGGAAGGACCATGCTGCAAACTCTTCTCTGCTTCTCAAGTCTGTGAGCCACCTGCACCAACGCACAGCACACAGATGGGCATTGCATGGCGTGGACTGAACACCTCCAGACACATCTGCCCACCTCTGTGTCTGTACCTCCCTTTTTCCTGGCTGAAAACTCCTCCCTCTATTTGCAGTCAGTGCTTGCCTCAGCACACAGGCTGTACAAGGTCTTAGTGGTTTTCCTGTTGCAACACAGCTTGTGACATTACAACAATATCTGTAAGCAATAGTAGAAAAACTAGATGTGGTTCAGTATAATTCTCTCATTTTTTCTGCAGCTGTTTGGTTTCTAGGAGTCTGTTTAGCTAGTTGAACACAGGGAAGTCAAGTAACTGCATTTTAGCAAACTAGCTGAACATTAAGTTGTCAGACACCATCTTTTCCGCCATTGAGAATCGCTTATGCTGTGCTCTTAAGTTGAAACCATCTCTGTGACAAATTCCAAACACCATAAAGAGCCAAACCAAAGGGCTCCTTGTCCACTGAAGTAAATCTGATAAGATTTTCAGCTACAGTTCCAACTGTACTGCTTCATTACAAATGTATGCTTTCCTAAAATCAAAATGAAAGGCCAAATTCACTGCTGCCTACTGTAGGGATTGAGTGTTACAATAAATTTTTTTGGTTTTGTTTTTTTAACACACTTTAAAACAGTGCTGAGAGATGTAGATGTATGCAGCCTAAATAGGATGTTCTTAACAAATGGGATTCATACACCTGTGCTTCTGACCAGCCTCTCTGGTTCGCTGGTTGGATGGTTGGTTGGTTGGTTGGTTGGTTGGATGGTTGGTTGGTTGGATGGTTGGTTGGTTGGATGGTTGGTTGGTTGGTTGGTTGGTTGGTTGGTTGGTTGGTTGGATGGTTGGTTGGTTGGTTGGTTGGTTGGATGGTTGGTTGGTTGGTTGGTTGGTTGGTTGGTTGGTTGGTTGGGGCTTCCTACGGAAGTACAGGGGTCAATGCCTAAGGTTCAGTTCATGCGTGCAAGCAGAAGATGGATGCCACGTGGTACCCTCTTTCACACATCAAGTGTAGTTAGGACACGGGTGAAGTAAAAGCAGGATGATCACTGGATTTGGGTGCTCTGGGCAGCACTCAAATCTTCTAGGAATGAGCCGCAGTGTGTGCAGGGAATGCTGCTACAATGATTCTTGACATCATTTGAGAGAGAGAAAATACAACCCAGCCCCTAAAATGACTGGGCTGGGCAATGCTCCACCCTCCGCAGCACAGTACCCATTGGCTGGGGTGGCCACAGCACACAGAACACTGCAAGAGAAATACACTCCTTGAACAGCACAACCTTCCCCCTTGTTTCATTTGCTCCTCTACAAATAGTTTTAATCTCTGCAAACTAAAGCAGTTCTCTGTATGAGCCCATGACAGATTGCTGTGATGTAACTTCCTGCATAATACAGGCCACAAATCAGCCTATAAATCTCATCTAATGCCTGTAAGTTGTAATGGAACCATAGCACACATAATTCCTGTGTAAAACAGTACTCAAAACTAGTCCAGAAACAACAGCTTTGCCATATTAATGGAAGTCAGGCAGCTGGGTTTGTGAGAGACCTAATCCAAAGAAGTTGTGGTTTTAGGAATTCTCATTTATAGTATATAGCCAAACACTGGATGGACTCACTGGAGGACAGAAGTTCAAAGCCTCCCACCCAGACAGCGTGCATCTGTTTGTGAGATGTATTTCAGACTGTTCTTTCTTTCAGCTGTTTCTCTGGTGGTTGAGGCTGCATCCTCATGAAAAATATCTAAATAGCATTGAGGCTGGTACAGCACCACTGCCTGATTTGTCTTGCCTGCTTCCAGTGTCTTCGGTATTTGGTAGGGATCAGATTCAGTCTTAAGTGGAGAAGAATAAGCAAAGTTCTCAAAACAAGTATGAGTTTGAGGTGTAGGTGTGGGTGCGAAGTTTCTCGCTACGTTTTCACTAGGGTAAATCCAGGAAGAAATGTGACCATCAATCATATCTTCAGTTGGTGTTGAAGATAATGGGCTCCAGGTAACAGGATGCAATTTCTGAGCTTCAGCATTACTGTCAATGGCTAGCATGTCAGGAAGGCAGTCATTTATCTTCAGCACTTTCTCAGAATCAATCTGCAAGAGAATCATTAAACAAAGAAATTACTCAATGAAAGAAGCCCAGAGTAGAGATAGTGATTACTTTAAGGAATTCTAATATTCCTACACAGTTTTTTTTTCATTTACACTTTCCAAGTAAATGAATTTGAAGGAAAACCTACATAGAGGATGCTCAATAGAACTGCATTTTATGTGAAATTTATCAGACTATTTATTTAGAGATTTCTTTTTTAAGTAAACTCACAGTGACTACATTTGAAGAAGGAACCATGTCTCTCTAGTCTAAAGACTTTGCCAGGTTTTTGATGTGTTTTGGTTTTATTTTGAGGCAGAAGCAACAGGAAGACAGCAGCAGTGGCTGTTGTGTGTACCTCACTCCTCACTCTCGTGCTGCTGTTCACTGAACACCAGCAGCCCCACCTGTGCCAAGGCAAGGGCTTTGGAGCCCCCAAATAGCAGCTCCCAGGTCGAAGGGGTACAGAAGAAGCTGAAGGCCCTTTGCCAATCCTCCCAGCCAGGCCTGGCAGTGCCTGGCAGAACCCCCTGCATCCTCCCAGGGCCAGCAAATGCAGGGCCCTGCAGTGTCCTCCCAAGGGAACTGGGAGGGAACACAGCTCACAGGCTGCAGGGAAGTCCAGTGTCCTCTGGGCTGCTGAGTTCAGACAGTGCAGGGGTTTGAACAGTAACAGTGGAGGAATCACCTGCTGATCAAAAGATTGCATTTATTCTCCAGTTGCGCATTTTCATTTTGCAGTAATATGATGCAAAGTAAGCTGGTCATTGCAGAGTCACATGAATGTCAAAAGGAGAGTTTTCCACTGAATGGTAATACTAAACTGTTAATTTGTGTATAATTATTAAATGTTGTCAACACAAAAACTGACAAGAAGTTAATTTTTAAATGTAGTCAACAGAAGAATAGTATATTGTTTGTTTTTTTTTTTCAAATCTACTAAGCAAAGAATGGACAAAGTAAAAACTCTGGATTTTCAATGATCTTACCTTAAAGTCTTTGAATGACAGCACTTTGCTCTTACTAGGACTAGGTATTACAGGACAGCAGCACTCCTTCACCCTGGAAATAAGAGACCAAAACAAATGTAGTTTTTGTTCTTTTATCAAAGCACACTCTACCAGCAGAAGCTACCCATAGATGTGTACAGGCACAGCAGCAGATGACCAGTGTCTCAGAAATGCCACAGGCCAAGTACTTAGAACATCCACACAGTCAGAGAGCCAAAGGAAGAAATTAATGAGGCCTTGCAATGGGCTGGAAGCAACAAACTGCAGCAGTGGTTTGTTAGATTAGTTAGATTAATTATATTCTCTGTCTACAACAGAAACATGCAGTACAACTTACCACATCATCTTCCAGTGGCATATAGCTGCTACTAGGGCTGGAACTATCACTAGCACAGCAACAAAGTACAGCATGTTTGCTGTGGAATAAAAATAACTTTAAAATTTTGTTTTTAACTTCTCACATATTAAATTCAATCCAGATTGAGTTTCTGGGGCAAAAAAACCATCAAGTTTGCATGGGATGCCTGCCACTAACTCAGCAGCAAAACTCTGTGGTCCATGGTTGCAAGGTAGTTTGGCTGGAAGTTCTAGGACATCTCTGTAAGCCTTGAGACCTTCATCCCCTTTACCAGAATGGAATTATAACTAGATTTCTTTTTTTTTTTTTTTTTTTTTTTTTTTTTTATTTTTTTATATTGGCATATGAGGAAAATAAACCTTAGCTGTAAGAGTAATTTACAAAAATTAAGGCAATGATAACCTCACAAGTATTGTTTTTGGTTTTCTCTCAGACCCATAGAGAAGACAGATTTTTACTGTGAGGTATGAACAACATCTGCACCTCCATTTTGGACTCCAGCAAGAAAAACATTACACAAGTGTTCAGGTCTCCTAGGATTTATGCCAATTCGGGGATCTCTTAATTTCCTGCTCTCCAGAAGACAGCCTTAGGCTGTGCTGTTCACAAACAGCTGAGGCTCTAGGTGGGCTGAGGGGAGTGCTAGTTAGTGCCTGCTCTCCCTCTGCTCTCCCTCTGCCTTGTCCAGTGCCCTCCTGCCCTGTGCCAGAGAGTTTGTGTATCCCCACACCACAGGAGGGAATGGATGGACACGTTACATTCTCCTTGTTTCTCTTGAGGGTTAATTAAGCCCTTGTCTTTATTCCCTGCTTGGCTGTACAAAGGCATGGCTGGCTAATGGAAGCTAGAGCTTGTGTGCTAGAAGCAGAACTGTGCCTGTGAGGGTGCCATGATGGCCAGACACTGCAGTAGCTAGCCTAAAACATGGAGTCACTTTGTGTTAGCCAATCCTTCCCCTTTTCCCATCCCTTCCCCTTCATCTCCAACCCCAATAAGATTTTCAAAACCAGGCATCTCTAGTTTGGATCCTAAGCTTCACAGGCATGCCGACTGGTATTTTCAAGGGACAAAGTTACGGACAAGTGATTTCCTCTTCTGCTTTGGTGATCAAATCTGCCCAGTTAGCAAAATACTGTGCCCATGCCAACAACTCTTCTGTATTGGCTTATGAAGGAGTGAATTTGGCAATGGTTTTTAGGACTGATGAGAGTAAGAAGTTAGAAAGTTCAAAAACTTCAAATTAAAAAAGTTCAAATTAGAAGTTCTAAAGTCCATACAGGAATTACCTGTTTGCACGCAAGTCTTAAGGTATTCCAGTATTAGAAAACCAGTTAAATCCAAACACAATTATTCAATGAGTTCTAACAAACAGGACTCACTAGGCATGCAAATGTGTATCTATTGAGCTATTTCCCAGAAGGATATAAGACTTAAATAAGGTGTAAAATAAATAAGATGTAAATTAGTAAATAAGACTTTAATTAGGATCATTCTAAAAATTTAGAAAAAAATCCTTTCTAATTAGAAGTATCAAAATGTCACTGTATCCAAATGTCATGCTTGTATCATTTCTCAGTCGGATTCTTAAGTGAATGTTGCATTGAATTAAATGTTTTCCCTTAAGAAAGGAAGTTCATTATAACATTTTAAATCCTTCTGCTACAGGACATTATTCACAGTATATGTACTCACAATTATATGGCGTATCTATGTATCTAAAGTTAACAATGGGAGTCTCTCCTCCACCTGTAAATGCTTTAACCACTATTTTGTACTTTGTGTTTGGCATCAGGTGTTTCACGGTGTATCTCTTTTCTTCTGGGTTGTCAATTGTGTATTTACATAGCTCTGATTCATCTAAAACAAAACAAATAAGGTAGAATCACAGGATCAAAGAATGCTTTTGGATAGAAGGGACCCTAAGGATTACCTAGTTCCATCTCCTCTGCCATGGACAGGGACACCTTCCCCTCAAACAGGTTATTCAGCCCCATCCAGCCTGGCCTTCAACATTTCCAGACATGGGGCATCCACAGCTTCTCTGGGTAACCTGTTCCAGAGCCTCATTACCCTCACAGTAAATCTTCTCCCAATAGCTATTCTAAGCCTATGCTTTCTGTTTAAAACCACTACCACTTGTCCTATTAGTACAGGCCTTGGTAAAAAGTCTCTTTCCATATTTCTTATAAGCCCCCTGTTAGGTACTGAAAGGTTGCACTAAGTTGTCCCCAGAATATTACAAAACCAGTTAACTGAAATAACAAGACATTTGCAATCTGCCTTCTTTGTAATTTGCACACTTTCTTCTGGGAAAGATGATACATTCTGACTCACTGCCACTGGCTGAACTCACATCCCTTCTAACTGGACTGGCCACAGCATTGCCCTTCTCTGGCAGACACCTAACAACTTGTTGTCAAAGCCTACACCTTGTTTATTTTAATTTCTTTTTCCTCAAGCATTGTACCAGAATTTGAATTTTGCCATTTCTTTTTCTCTTTTTTTACCAGAATCCTGTAGCCCTTAAGCTTATGTCAATTTCTTTGAAGATAATCAAAAGCAAAAAATCTCTGCCTGAAAAAAGAGCTCTTTTGCCTCTCTATTGTGCAACTCCCAAACCCCAGGGAGAAATGGGTTAGCTTATTTCTGCTGTTTTCAGTCACACCCCTTGTCTGCTAACAGAAGCAGTGAAGCAGAAAATCTTTGATTTAAACTTTTTAAAGTCTAACTGAATTACTTACAGAATTATGGTACTTATATAGTTAGTTCAGTTCTGACAAGAACTTCTACATAAGCCTCCCTCAGTTCAAACTTTGCTTTTCATACTGGCACTAGTCTAATCAGCAGAAAAACACAGGACCTGACCCAAGCAGAAGACGAGGCAAAGAAAAAAAATAAAATGTATTCCTTTAATGTATTGGAAACATCTGAGAATTATAATGGACCAAAGTCATCTGGAGCAGTTTTGCATGTGAAACAGAAAAGTCTGATAGAAATTTGTGGCTTTGTGCCACTTCACAGCTCAATTCTGCTGAAAGAACTCCACTGTAGAGCATACACACAAATACTTTCACTAAAAAAGAATTTACATGGGAATTTACATTATAAAGTGCTCCAATTTTGAAGGAAATGAAGTGTATCCCATCTGTTTCTAAAATACCCCAAATCCTAGTAAGACTAACATACTTCTTATAACTTTTATCCAAGTAGACCACAAACAGATGTTTTTCAACATTAATCGAGAACTCACATCACAAGAGGCAGAGCCCCTCCTATAGTATCTTTCATAGTACCTTTTATAGTACCAAAGGAGTCTATTCTGGAGCTAAAAAAAGAATCATGGATAACAGGATGCAGGCTGTAAATCATTAAAAATCCAGAAATCATTTCTGCCTAGTAGCACCTCATGCACCGAGAGGAACCAAAGACAACAGGTGTTGAAATCTAGAGATGGCTTAATGAGCTAGTCAGACTGCCTAATGTGAACCTTCCAAGATGCTGCAATACCAACAAGTCTTTCACCTCTATCAATGACACAATTTTCTGTGGCAGAGAGCTCAGTTACCTGAAAGAATGTGCTTTTTAGATCCTTTCAGATTGCAGTTCCCTTCTATAGGTGACACATAAACATGGTAGCCTCTTATAAAACCAGGCTCTGACTCATTTGTGAGATAAGAATCCCAAGACAGTGTTACTGAATTGTAACTTAGGTCAACTTTTCTCACAATAGGGTCAAGACGAGGAGCTGGAAGAAAGGAAATGGGAATTAAACTTGCAATTATTCTTCAAGAGTATTTTCTCTTATCATTTGAAAAATTCACACTCCCATGTGGTGTTTACGTTCATATCTTTCTTGTATTAAAAAGCTGAACAAAGCCAAAGTTCTCTACAAAAACTGACAGCTTCACAGAGCCTTCATGCATCTATACAATACATGAATCAATAACTGATAATAACAGCTTTGTTTAGCTCTCCTAATAAACATGGGCTCTGCCTGGTCACTGCACTACACAAATACCATCCATGTAGATGTTTATACAGAACTTTTAAATGCCTCACTGAAGATACAGAAAGGACACAAAAAACCAATTTCATCCAGCTGTAGGAGGAGGCAATTATTCTATTTGTGACAGATCAATTTAGCAAATGCACAAGCCCCAAACATGTTGCTAACTTACGCAGCTCCCTGAGATAACCAATCTTCTTTTCCAGCAAGGAGGCTCTATTAGCAACAGAGCCATAGATGCGGAATTTGTATCTCACCCCCGGAACAAAAGCAGCTAAAAAACATTTGAACAAAAATAGGTTACAGACTGTTTTCCAGTGTTACCTTTATTTAATTGTTTCCTACAGAGGTCAACAACCTATTGGACACATTCTCTGAGTGCTATTGTGCTATTAAAGCATCTGAAAGAAACAGAACAGAGGGCGAGCCAATTCTTGGTGTGCATTATGTGAATTAAACACATTTATTCTGTCTGAAAGAGCAAACTGGGAGAGGGGTTTATATATTTTTTTTGCTATGTGGTATTCAAGGTGACTGAACAATAGACTCCAAATGCACCAAAAATAAAGACAATTTCATTCACATTTCTGGCACAGGCAAAGGCTGTGCTTTGGAATATTTGATATATATCCAGGTACCAGGATTCCTGGTTGTCCTCACTGACATCTGCTCCCATTCACATTAAGCAAGTGCAAACTACTGAAGAATTTGACAATGCTCTTCCCATGTGCTACCCACAGTCCCCTTCATCACGTGCAGGTTTCTGCATGTTTGTGTGAACTGGAGTTCCATTATTGCAAATGTATGTGTGTTCAATCAAATTTTGTTCAAATGAGTTTCATTCTCAAGTGAGCTCTCAGCTTGAGAGACTCTAGCAAAGCTAAATTCTTGCAGCTGTGGAAGTGTATCAGAGCAACTTTCACACAGACAAAAAGGATTTAGGTCAAATGGCCATAGCCAGGGAAAAAAAAACCTGCAACTGATCCTAAGCAAGGTACTGAGACACCTCATTTGTGGCACACTGACAGCACCAAACCTCTCACTACACTGTGGGTTTAAATTGCCTGAGTCTAAACTTCTGATCCACGTTACAGATAGGATAGAGCTCCTTTCTACATCTCTCTTGCTAAATTATTTTAACTACTTCATTAACCTCACCATCCTCTTTCAAGATGCTGCTATAAGCCACTCAGAAGAGGTTTTGTCTAAAATACTGTGTTGACTTTTCTAATATATTTTTACTATTATTATACAAATATATGTAACATATTTTTGACTATTCTAATATGTTTTCTAATATAGTATCCTGCCTTCCAGGGCATAATGGTGCTGGTACATTTGTGTTGTCTATTTAATTTGGTAGGAAAAACATGATGTCACATGCCTTTGAAGAACTGCACCTGCACAGCACAGAATTCAATACTCATAAAATCTTCATAAAATGATTTGTTTTCTAAATTCAATTAATGCCCACAGCTCGAAGGACTGCTGCACAGTCAGAAAGAATAGTTGTTTGGCTTTCACCTGAGCTGATCACAGCACTGGAAGTGTTTGGTCCAAATCTCTTCCACAGCAAATCACAAGGCTGCAACCTGGGAAAGTTACACCAATCAATAATGTAACTGTCATATATACTTCTGGGCTCCCACGTGATAAAAATGCCATCATCTGTACCATTAACCTGTCCTTCCTTAAGCTTTTTGATACCTAGGAATGAACAAAACAGAATCTCTTATTATTGTCCTGCATGATACTTTGGACTCATACATGAAGATCAGTACAGTTCCTACACTAACCAGTTGAAAACAACAATAAAAGTGTTGCATTCCTCTACTAAATAAATGCCATATGGGGTCTTTCACATACTGAAAGCTAACAGGTCAGAAACCATCCAGTAATTGTTACTCTGTATTCACAAAAAAAATCATCTGCAGAAACCTAGAGTCAGAGGGTCACATGAGGCTAACCACACTGGCACTGGCTGCACCATCAAGGCACCTACTGCAGGTCTGACACCCTAGTTTTAGGCTAAATGTATTTTGCTCTGTGAAGACATCATTATTATCATTATTATTAACATTATTATTATTATGAAGGCATTTCACCTCAATAAACATACAGCTGCCACCCTGTAGGAGAAAATACAGTCATAATTTTCAGACAGCAGTGACATGAGTTAAGAGGTAAGGTCAATATGTTGCCCAGGATGATAAATTATGACTTCACTCAAAACAGGTAGAAACAAAGCTCTAATAATGTAATTATAACTGAAAATACTCCTACTGTTATCTGTAGCTCTAGAGATGATCAATACTGAAGGAAGTGAAAAATTAACATTGTTCTTTGCCATGATACTGATTCTATAGGAATGGTTATCAATGAAAATCCTTGTGCTGTTGTAGACTGAAGAAAAGGAGATGCTTTCAGGCTTGGAGCCATCTTCTATTTTTTCCCAGGTTACTTCATAGGAAATAATTTTTCCATTTGCTTGAAAACTTGGTGTTTGCTGAGAAAAAAAGTTATGGAGGAAGAGAATAACTTAGTAAATTTTCCTGAAAAAATATGAGAGGATCATTTAGAATTTTAAATAACTAACAGGATGTGTTATTTCTATAAGAATATAAACTTTTGTTTCCATACATTCATACGTACACTGGTTGAAATGGAAATGCAGCAGTCTTGGTAATGGTACCTGACTTGTTCTAATACTTAGAAAAACAGAATTGCATGTTTGAAATTCCAGGACAGCGCACCATCATAGCTCCATGTGCTCTGAGATATTTTATATACAATTTGTTTTAGATTTGTAAAAGTCATTTTCATACTGAATTGCTATCAGCTGCACACAAATCATGGGAGAAATTTCCAGCCCCTTTATGAAGGTCATTGCTTCTTTTTCTGTGGGGATATCTCACCTTCCAGAACAAGGTCACATTTCGTCCCCCCAGAACTGGTGTAATTTCTCTCCATATGTCCAGTTTCCCTGATGGAGCTGCAATAAATACAGCAAAGCAAGAAAATGAGACTGCTCTGGGTGCTGAAAGGATAAGCAGTTTAACTGCTTCCTCCCGTTTGAAGAAACCCCACTCACAACACCTCCTTTTCCCCATCACTCCCAGGTCTTGCCCAAACATTATCCTTTAACATAATTTTCCCTTTTTCTGAATTAAAGTCTGCTTAATTTCCCTAGAAAATCTTTGCTTGCAGTCACCAGACTCTTGTTCCCGCCTCTGCACTATTCCTCCAGGCCTCACTGGGCGCTGTAACTCAGTCTGTCCACCTTCCCAGCCAGCTGGATTTCCTACTGCCTGCACTGGAGGGAATGTCCAAGACATTGCCTATAGGAGGTAGGCTGACGATTATTATCTTCTTGAAGTTTGCTTAGCATGTTTCTTTTATGCATGCAACAGACCTCTGCTTTAGCTACACAATGGAAGAGTAAAAACAAACAGCAAAAAGAGGTGGCGAGCACGGAGCATCCCTCAAACTCTGCTTCTCAACGGGTTGGACATACTTCCTTCCTTTGTTCTGGTGGTCAGGGGTTGGCTCCACTCACTCCACCTCCAGAAGTGCTTGGCCACCCCGCAGCGCACCCTGGCCGTGTACTCAGTGTACGGCTGCAGCCCACGCACCGTGACACGCTTTGAGTCCACCTCAGAGCTGTTGTGCTGCAAAACACAAAGATACACCAGGCACAACTCAGAACAGTGTCCTCAGCAAGGTGTTCTCTGAGAAAATAGCTCTTCCTCTAGAAACTCCAGAAGAGCTAGTTAGGCTTCACTTGGGAAAGACAGTCATGGAATAACAATCAAAAAAAGCAAATAATGCACAAGATCAAAACAGTGGGAGATCCAAAAAGCGGGCTGGAAGCCACCTCTGTGTAACTGAGTCACTCAGAACCCTCCACATGAGTACTTCTTACATCCAGAAGGCAATTTACTGAGCTCTTGCCCTCATAAAGTCTTGGGCTATTACCTCATATAAAAGTAGGATGTTCCATATCTATGTAGAGCAATCTGCAGCTAGCTTTTTCTTCCATTTTTTTCCCCAGCCTTTACCCCACTCTCTCCTACGAGACAGAATGAGTTCTAGTAAGAGTCAAAAAGCCAGCATGCTTTTAAGCCTCTCCTCAGAACTGTCTCCAGCAATGGCCAGCTGCAGTGGTCACTTGATCTGACAGCTCTTAAGCCACAATCAGGACAGAACACAGCTTGACTGTGATTTCACTGTGCCTTTTTAATGTGCTAAAGGCAAGCTACCTTCTAAGAAAAGAGCTACAGGGAAGTAGCATGGGAAAAGTAGATGGGCAAAGAGTCCATCGGCCTCACTGTTTATGGAAGAGGTGAACAAATTAAGGAATCTACTCAAATTATCTTCACAGAGATTGAAGAGGAAGGGAAGAAAAAGTGTTCTGGGATTCCATCACTAGAAACCAGACTCACTACCATCAACTACAGTCAATAGCACACAGAAAGAGCTTGGACTGATACAAAAGAAATCTTCAACACTGCTCTGTTGTGGGTGAAATAGCATGAGCAATTAAAACAAATCAAGATTACCAGTAGCTAATATATATATACATGTATTTATAATACAGCTTTACAATTATTAAGCCCTTCAGTATTTTCACTAATTTCAACAAATCTCAGAATCCATCCAACAGAACACTGAGCCACAGTCAGACCAGTTAACACCACGTACTTCTGGCAGAGTACAGACAGTGTTTGAAGTGTGAACTAGAGCCAACAGTGGCTGTCCATATGGACCACATAATCAGTGTAGAGCTTGGGAAGCAAACAAATCCAGAAAACAAGCACATCAACATGCTCACAAGATTTACAGCGCATTTGTATTGCTAGGGAATTATTTTTTAATAACATCAGAAAGATCCTCACTATATTTTTGTTTAGGAAATTCAGGTTTCATACCAGTTCTACTTTGCCGTCAGGTTGGAGCACTTCAGTCTGACAAAAGAGGTCAATTTCATAGTTTTCATAATTCCAGTGTAATGTAATTTCTGTATCTGTGCAATCTTCCCAAACCTGGAAAGGTGCAGTGGGATAAACTGGCAATAGAAAAACTGAGTTAGCTCTTGTAAAACATAAAATATACGCAATAGTATGTTAATATTAATATTTTAGCTGAGTAGTAAAATTTTTTTCTCCTAATCTAGAAGAAACATGAATTATAGAAGTTCATTTCAGAATGTGAATGTAAATGTAAGTAAATATTTAAAGGTTCAAAAAAATTCCTTGTGCTGACTTAGAAATGTTTTAAAACATCATGGACAAAAGAAAGAAACACATTTATTGCAAATCATTAAAATTCTCTAATTCAGTGCTTGGCAGAAATTCCTGATGTAACATGGTAAAATTTGACACATTTCTACAGCCCAGAATTGGGCCTCTTTGACAGAAATTTTATTCACAACTCTAACACTGACTCCTGTCAGTAGGTATCCTCCAGTAAACAGTGCCAGTTCTACTTCTTCCAGAAAATTTCTGAGATCCTTTACTGCTGTATAAGAGTATTCAGCAAGTGAAGTAAATCTCAAGCTCTCCCACATTATCTGTATAATAATGAGGAATGCAACGCAATGTGAGGGCATGGCAATGCAAGTGAGTGCTATGCTTATACCCTTGGCCATTTATCCTAAAGCTTCATGAATTACATTACTGAATTACACTACTCCATGAAATAAAATTTGAGGACTTTCACACTCAAAAGAGTTTGTATTTTATATAGAAGGTCCAAATTACCACATGCAGAATTGGAAACAATGGATTTACATTTTCTTTTACTTACTGTCATCCTTTAAGTAAGGAAAGTTCTAATGTAAATATTTGCAGGATCAGAAAAAACATGGAGGATTTCACAGGAATCACTATTTAAAAACTTACCTCATCACACATATTACACATAATTTCTTTAACTTGCAACTATCACTAGGACTGGAAAATAATATTGTAGTAAAATTTAAATGTACTTATCACACTGAATGTAAACTATTCTAGCCTGACTTCCCATGAAAACTGAGTTTATGACATTGTGTTGTCTCCCTACAACCTGACAGTTTACTCCCCCACTTTCCTGACCTGTTCCTTCCACTTCCAAACAATCAGATAATCAAATTTTAGAATTCTTATGCCTCAGACATTTAGCATAAATTCCTTCAAATAAAAAAGCGTGGCTAGCAAAACTGTCAGCAATGTCTCTGAGGAAGGAAGCATTGCCAGGATGCTCAGATGCTATGAGCACCATCAGCCTCATAGGCCATTGTCTTGCCAACTTCCAAGCTGCACAAAGCACATGTTGTCTCCTGGTTCTTCAGACAGGTCAGGCAGTCACAGAACCTGGGGAACACTGAAGAAGACTCAAGGAGAACTGGAAATACTGCTGGAGAATGAAGAAATATCCACCTGATTTGAGGCAGGAGTAGGAAGGAATTTATGGGACCTGGTGCCCACTGGGTCATTCCTTCATAAAGGACACAACTACTAGGGAATAAGGAACAACAGCCATTAGATATTCCTCAGAGAATAACCTGGCTTTTGCCACTGATGAACTACTCTTTCTCCCTTACAAAAGCACAGTGGAAGTTATTGCCCCATATTAGGACCAAGAACAGGTTAGCACCATCACTTCTTTCCCAGCAATAGCTCTTACACATGAACCACACCTCGTATCATACCCATTTCCAAGTAACCTACACAGACATTTTGCTTAAACTCCCCATTTTATATCCTTGCATCATTTTGCTTTCTCTTCCACTAACCAGCTTCAACAAAGCGGCAGATTTTGAACCATTAAGGGCTCATTCCAATAACCAGATCTGACCCTTGGAGTATAAAGCTGTTTTCTACTGTTAATACAACTTTCCAAAGCTGAAACTGAAGAGAGAGCAGATAACTATAGCACAGGGACAGATAAGTAATTAAACCATGAAGATAAAAATCAAGGACTTCTATACTTCAAACCAAGACACAGTAATATCAAGCTCAGAAGGAGCAACAAAAAGCCCTAAACAAAGACACAGAAAAAAGCCTTACTTCTGTGATTTACATCAAAAACATCTGCAGCAGTTTTCTTTCCCAGTGGGTTTTCCACAGTCACTGTGACATTCCAGATCCACTGCTGGCCTATATCCCAAGAGCAGGAGCACTGCTTAGAACAACTTGCTTTGCACAGAGGTGTTTTCTGGGATGACCTATCAAAGAAAGGGAGAGGTAGGAAGCAGGGCAAAGAGAGAGAAAGATGCTTTCCATAATATACAGTCAACATAGGTCTTGGAAGTTTCTGATGTCCAATTAGAATACAGCATCATAAAAAATAAGGCTGAAGGGCCTTATGTAAGAAGTCACCCACTTCTTTCCCTTAGCTTGAAATATGATGAATAGAACTACTTTTAAAATAGAGTTTCCTTAGAAATATCCAGGTTTGTCTTTTTAAGATACAGCTACATTGCTTTTAGAAATTTCCTTACTGATTGTCTAAATCAAGGACTTATTTGCCAAGACTTAAATAATTTACATGTTTACCATTACACTTTTAAATGAAGTTGTAATTTCAACTGCATCTTGAAGTGCATCTTCTAACCTTCCATTTTTAAATCATCATTACAGTATCTTTAAGTGAGTGATGTAGAGACCAGGAAGGTATGTGCAATGCTGGCCTGTTTTCTGCTGAGATCTTTTGATGAAGGTTTGCTGTGATTATGAGGTTTCTGTCCTGGTTTATGAGTTTCCTTTTCTCTGCAGGCCTTGCTGTAAAGTCCCTCTCCTCATGTAAGGGCCATGTCTGATACACCACAGCTGTGTAGCCTTGACTTTAGCCTTGACTGCTAAAGAAAGAGCTATGAGAAAGTCTGCAGATTAATTTATTTTTTTTTTTTAAATAAAGAAGCCAGATGAAACTACAGAAATTATAGACACAAGAAGGATATTTGAGATAGGACTGTCAGTAGCTCAAGGACTCAAGAAGGAAAACATCAGCATGTAAAGCTCTAAAATCCTAAAGTAAGACAACTAGGGAGGTTAATCAGGCGGAGTGCTAACTTTGAGTCAGCATTAGTGTCAGTGGATCATGAGCACACTAATACCCAGCCTACCAGCTAATCAGATCCTACTTATCTATTGTGTGTGCTACCCAATAAGTATGTTGTACTTTTTAAGTTATCTACATCCTGATGTCAGGGTGTCTTCATACCTACTGAATGCTATCCAAATATATTAACTCAAAAGAGTGGTTAGAATAAGCTTTATCAGGCAGAACTTGATCTAAACTTTGTTAAAGTGAACAGAGCAGTTCTGCACTGCTCAAGCTCTGTTAAATAAGTGATCAGTGAAGTGGAAAAACGCAAGCAGATAATTAATTACATGAAGACAAAGCATTTCCACAGATTCTAAAGGAAAGAAGGAAAGAAGGTGAGCGTTTGGTACAGCACAGATCAGAGTTAAAATAACAATAAGACTTACGTTTTAGACAAGGTGTATCGTGGTAAATTCTGTCCATAGAGATAGGTCTCTCCTTCTGTCCAAGTACATGTTACTCTTTTCATGTCTTGAGTTTGGCAGTAAAAATCTTTAGGTGTATCAGGTGGTTCTTGTCAGATGAAATAACCAAAAACCAAGAAAATCATGGCAGTCAAGGCAAAGCATATCAACCTCTTTAATACATTAACAAGCTAGATATAATAGATAAGTATGAAGTCTGATTTACTATAGATGTTGTTACTGAAATTATGCTTATTCAATGACCACTGCAGGGATAGCCAGGATAATACCATTAGTCAATAGCAATCAAACACTTTTATATTCTAATATAGTTTTTTTATACTCATCCACTCATTTAGTCAATCTGTATTATTTTCTATCTTTAAAAATTGCTGTTAGCCTTTGAAAAGGAGACTGTGCTGAGCTTTTACCACATGCACATAGACAATGAATTTGAATTCCTAAATGGGTGGGTATATTTGTGAATCAACCACCTGTCATAGGGCCAATTAATTTAATGCTATTTTTTCCTGCTTTCTCTATATAAGTTTACAGATCTCAAGTCAGACAGAGTTCAGCCAGACATGATGAGACCATGACAACTTACAGCAAGCTTTTTTCCCTGGTCCATTTTTTCTACAGTCATTCTTGAGTTTATAACAAGAGGAAAATAAAACTGAAAAAATGTGTTTACTTACTACCCACAAAAAAAGCTGCCTGATACAACCGTTCATCTTCATCGTAACAGTAGACATGTATGTTAGACCCTTTGTCATGTGATAGATTTTCCACAGTGAGAAGTCTGACTTGACTGTTTGTGTACTTGAAAACATCAACAGCTGGGTATACAGAAAATTCCTTAATGGTTTGACCTTTCCCTCCTATGCAGCAAAGAGTGATATCAGAGCCTTCTGCTAAAAATTTTTCTTTTGGAAAGATTTGTGGCCCACTTCTATTTGAAGTGTCCAGGCCTGCAAATTAAAAAAAAAAAACCAAAATATTTCAAAATCTGCTCAAGGCAACAGTCTTCAGTCAGACCACAAAATTAAGCATTTACACATGAAATGGCTAACATTACATTATCCATTCATAGACTTTCATTCAGTATTCTTTCCAATATAGAGATTAATTTCACATGTAATAATACGTTTCTCTTAAAGTCTTAAACATGTAATGTAGTCCAACAAACTACGTAAGACACTAAATCTGTTTTACTGCCTTTCACTCAGAGAAAACAAGTTTTCTGTCAAGAATCACCTTTAAAAAGAACATCATCTCCTGCTCGTATGTACAGGCTATTTGTTGCTTATATCCAAAATGCCTGCTCTTGAAGACAAGGATGGCAAATTCTGTCCGTAGAGATAGGTCTCGCCTTCTGTCCAAGTACATGTTACTCTTTTCATGTCTTGAATTTGGCAGTAAAAATCTTTAGGTGTATCAGGTGGGTCTTGTCAGATGAAATGACCAAAACCCAACAAAATCATGGTAGTCAAGGCAAAACTTACTTGGAGCAATGGTCTACAACAACATCACAGTCTGATGCTTGTGCAGAGCTCAACTAAGAGGAGTCAACATTGACTCAATCAGATCAGTAAGGGGATAATCGACTTGGAATGAGAATCCCATAGCTTTCTATGTTGGACTGCTTGCTGGATGGAAAAGTTAGTAAAATTGAAGTGACTCACAGTTTTTTACACATATTGCACAGGTAAAATCTAGTCTCAAGAATCTGGTCCAAAAACCTGGTGACATTTGGAGTTACTGTCTTTCAGAGAGCTCTAAATCAAGTCTGTAAAGTGGGATCAGTTTGTCACCAAGAAACAGTATTTTTGAGCCCTACCCATTCACAACTGAAAAAAATAAAATCTTCAAGACTGAGGATATTATGGGACAAAAAAGAGTCTTCCATCCTACTGTCCATAATATAACAAGAGGGAGATGAGTGCCATAATCCAAATATGAACACCAGTGACCCCTCTTCTACATACATTATGTCTCCAGTATCTAAAAGCCCTTGCTGCTCCAAATGAGTATTTCATTATAAAATCACTACAGTATATTTTCTAAAGTAGTTAGATATTTTGTTTAAACAAGATTCCCTGGGAGCCAAACTGTTCTAGTAAGACATGGTAATAAAAAAAAAAGACAAATTTTATGTCATTAATTACATTATTGGTTCACTCTCTGTCTATTCTTATATAATTCACAGGACATTCATTCCAAGTGAAATAAGGAGATGACTTGTTCCTTTTTCTCTGCTTCTGTAATACCAATTCAAACTATGAATTCCAGACAAAAGCAACAAATTCACCAGATTATGTAGCCCCTAGCTATGTACTTCCTCTCCTTTCCCTGAGTCTGGGCCAGGGATGTGCCTATTCAAGATCCCATGTCACTTCACCTACTACATTGTTTTAAAGTGTGAATAAAAACAAAGTTCCAGAACTTTTGGTCTACTGGCTTAGGAAGATAGTCTGCAAATTAAAGCAATGGCTGAAGACCTGCTATTACTGCTGGTAAAATATAAGGAACTGGTTAGTGCTTAGAGCAAATGGATTCTTCATATGACGCCATCTCTCCAGAACTATCCTCCACGGTTACATTCACTGGCAAATTACAAACTAGCTTTATACTTGGAAAAAAATCCAATATTGCAAAGTCTTGTTTCACTTACCCGGGACAGTCTCCCACAAACTCCACTGACTCCAGATTTTTGATGATTTTGCCTTGCTCCTAATTCTCACAGCATGTGACATACACTCCAAAGGTATGTCTGAATCCCATGACCAATGAAGAGGTTTACCCAATTTATCAAGTGTGACATTAAGAAACTCCTAGAAAAAAAAAGACCAGTAAGGCAAAGTATCGAAAACATATCAATATGAAGATTTGGAAATACAGTCAAAAGCAGAGAGAAAGATCAAAGGAGAAAATGCTTTTGAAAATTGATGTCTGAAACTCCACTAGCTACATGTGATCTTACAGTATCTAACTACTCAGCTAATCAACTGCTTACAGATCTGTGCTAGCTCTGGTGGAGTGACTGATGTGTTAACATATTTGTGAGTGAGATCCTGCTTCTCATGATATGGATTTGCTCTCAGAGACTTTCAGGATGTTATTTGTGTCTGCTATTACATAAGCTTCTGCCTACAAATGCATCCTAGTGCTCTGGGTTACACATCCCTGTAACTCACTGTCCCTGGATTGACTTAAAATATGTGCAGATTCAGCATTTAGAGATGTGGTTTAGTGTGGACTTTGTATTGCTGGGTTAATGGCTGGACTCAATGATCTTAAAGAATTTTTGCAACCTATGAGATTCTATCATTCTACATATTTTAGTACTTTTATAGCAACCATTCCAGATTCTCAGCATACAGATCAGTGCTGTTCATATGATCTTGTATCAAAGCCCTGACTCACACTGACCAGTAGAGAACTTCTCTCCAGTACTTTTTTCCATCAGCAACACCTGCACTTTCATATTACCACTGCTCTGAGAAAAAATTTGCCATTAGCTCAAAATTTAATTTCTCATTTATAGCCCCGAGTGTGAGAAATGGCATTGCAGAGGATTCTCAGGGCCTAACTGAAAGCTCACATAGTCTTGTACATCTGTATACAATCTCTGGGATAAGGTGTGCTGATTTAGCTAGACCATGGAATAGAGAAGACACTGTTGAGAAAAAGACTGAACTGGAAACAAGTTTCAAATTATGGCCTTGCAAACAGACCAAATATTTTAGAGTACAAGAACTGTGAAAGATGCATTGTAGCAAGACCACATAGGGTAAAATACCAGGATACTGGTGTTAGAAGTGTTAGCACATTTGTGCAGCAAATGCTAATAGGCTGAAAAACTGGTTGGCTTCTGATGAGATGGCATTGAATGTAATATCTTAAATGTCTCACCCTTCTATGAAACTGATAATGGAACAAAATCTTTTAAAGTGCCTCTCAGCTTCCCCATCTCTATAGAGCTGGGTTCTTTCAACAAATGGTGCTTCCTATTTGAGGAACACAATTTCTGTTGAGTGGTTGGAAAGTACTTTTTGGAGAGTGCCACTGCAAGGAAGCGGGAATCACCCCAAGGATTTAAAGTTCTCCTGTGAGGAAGGAGCAGTCAGGAGTGCTGTCTGTGCCACGGGTTTGACTTGGATGGAGACAGATGCTACCTGCTGTATGACAACAGGTAAGCTTTGGGGAACGTGATCAGGCACAAGATGTCCAAACAGCCCAGAGATGTTTACCAGACCCTTAAGACTCTGATAAGATCTAATTCTTGTACCGTACCCAAGCAGGAACTTAAAGACCTCTTAAGATGGGTACAGAAAAGTTTTGGTGACACAGATCTTGAGTCTGCTTTTACTACGTCTCTTTGGGATGCTGTTGGACTTAAGCTCATGACATGACTACCCATTGAGATTTTACAGCTGCTAAGTTGCTCCCTGCATGTCCTGTGCTTATTGACATATTTAGTCAGCAGTCTAGTTCAGCCACATCCTTGGTAGTTTTTATGCTTATGCTTGAGCTGCTTAAGAAATATAGCAAGTCCTTGTCCTCTCATGGCTTAAAACTTGTACTGAAGTAGGCAGCAGCTGGGATGCTCCCCTCTTGAAGGGTGATTTACAAGACTATAGAAAAACAAAAACAGTCTCTAGTTGTGAGTAATGATCCGGTACAACTGGCAGACCCACCAGAGGCAAAAGAAAGATACCAGGCACCATGATTTGTGGCAGCTTTTGCTGCCAGCCACTATCCTGGGAATGGAGATGGGGAGGATGAAGAATTCCCCTTTGACCCTGGACCCGCTGACCCTGAAATAGAACCAGACCTTTATCCCCAGGCATGGTGCCTGCCAGGAGCTGTGCTGTGATTGCTGCTGCTGCTGTGGGGGGTGTGGCCCCTGCCTGGTGCTGGCCAGCACGGCTGTAGCCTGCACAGCATGCTATGGTACATCAAAATACCAACTGACACTATGTACTGACCGAAACTGTTAAAACTTTCCTTCTAATTTCAATAACCTGTGATTTGTGATCTTTAACAGGATTGTTATTGGAAAGATTCAAAGGTGTTTGTGTGGATGAGGTGCTTTCCTACATATCGATAGCACAGCAAGACTGCATGATTCACTGGGAGTAACTGGCTAGGTTGTGAATTCATTATTCTTTTGCTCACACTCAAAGCAAACTTTGAACTTTATCTTCAGTAGTTATTTCAGACTTAGCTATTATTAGTACACAAAACTCCACCGCCAACTTTACCATTTGTTTGTGTTTTACTTCACAGTTTTAACAACGTAACTTTATTGTGAATTTTTCAGGACAGCTATTTAGTGATTAAAGGGTCATTATTTTTCCTTGCCATGTTTAAATTGAAATTCGACTTGATATCAAAACAGTTTAAGCATACTGATAAACCACAAATACAGTAAACAGTAGCTTCCTTTTTAGAATAATTTGAACCCCTGACTTTGTAACTGTTTGTATGCCAGTATCAGTCTTAAACATCCACTAAGCTAACCAAGTTGTTAGTGTAAATCTTATAGCACTATTATATAACTAAATTCTTATTGTTTCAGCCTTTACTATTTATAGACCATTACTTATACTAGGCCAAACTCAAATTTATTGTACAGGCAATCTTAAAAAAAGCTGCAGCAGGAATTAACTCCTCTTATTTACCTGCATGTTGTTTACCTTAAAGTTTAACTGTTGTATGACAAATTTTCAGTAACTTTTTTGAAATGATAGAGTTTAAATAAGTTAATTTCTGTTAAGATCAATTTCTGTTTAGTTTCAGTAATTTTAATTTTAAGGGTTTTTTAGGTATATTTTTGTTATATTTAAGTGAAATGAAGTTTCAACAAAGTTAATTTTAGGTTCTGTTGATATATTCTTGTTTAAATTATAAGATACAAGATACAGCTACTTTATTATAGAAATAAGAACAATCTGTTGTTTTATCTTTCGTAGGCAGCACTGAAGAATGAGTAACAATTTCATATTATGGCTGTTTTTAGTTGTAAGCTGTTTAATGCTTTTTTTGCTTTATTGCTACTTAGCTAAGGATAAATGACAAAGCCCGCTGTATTACAAACCTTCATATACTGCTGTATAGATATCTACAAGATATGTATTATTTTAAGAAACTTGTCTAACTACTATTATTGAGAAGTGTTTAGAATATATTAGGGAAACTATTCCAGATAAGGCCTGGACCCTGGCCAAGTTCTAGCCTTAACTGGTTGGGAAGTATGCCAAAAACTCAGGTGTTTTCTGCAACAAAACTGTACTCAAGTAATTTTGACTTGACGATTTTGGACCTATAATAGCTGGAACTTCTTTTAAAGTGAACTTGGAAATCTTACCTGGGAGTAGTTTTCCAAGCCCTGGCTCTAAAATAAGGCTTGTCAGTTACTGCAGACTCTGGGTGATAGTACCGTATTTAGGGATTTTATAATGCATTGCTTTAAATCACCATTTTATTTCTTATACACTACTAATTGCACATATTATCTGATTTATTTTTGCTTGGTGTGAGTTTATTGTTTTGCTACATGTTGTTTTAATTGCCATCTTAGAAATTGCATTGCTAGATTATTCAGGTGTTTGTTCTATTCACTTTCCAAGTCATAAGCTGTTGCAAGCAAACTTGAATTTCAGAGAAAAAGCCATGTTGGGTGAAATGCCTTTAGATGTTGTAACAATATTTACTGACAGTTCAGAGAAAATACACAGATCAGTAGTAGTATGGCAAAACCAAACAAAACATGGAAATAAAACATTCAAACAGTAGAAAGTTCTCAAATCATTGAATTGGCAACTATAGTTAGAGCATTTTGGATTTTTCAGGAACCTTTCAATTTAATTACAGACTGCCTATGTTGCTAATAGGGTTAGAAGAACAGAAGGATCAGCTTTAAAAGATGTTAGTAATTATAGCCTCACATGTCTATAAAATTTTACAACAGAGAACTAACAAATATTTTGTTTCCCATATTAGGGCACATTCTTCATTTCTAAGATTTATGGCAGAAGGAAATGCAAGAGCAGTGAAACTGAAGATGGTTGTTTCAAACACTTTGACAAACATTTTTGAACAAGTAAAACTGAGTCATGCCTTTTTCCATCAAAATGCACAAGCACTTGTGTGAATGTTTCGCATCTCCAAAGGTCAAGAAAAAGACATTAGCACTTGCTCTGATTGTCAACTTGTAGAACCTCCTGTTTCTACAAAACCTGTCAACCCATGAGGGCTGCAGAGCCTGCAACTATGGCAGAGAGATATCACCAGATACCCATCTTTTGGGAAGTTTAAAAATATTCATGTGTCAGTAGACACTTTTTCAAGTGCAGTTTTTGCCTCTGTCCACACAGGAGAAACAGCCAATCATGCTTGTCAACATTTTCTGCAAGCTTTTGCTCATTAGGTATACCCCAAGGAAAAAAAAACCCAAAAGACAATGACCCTGCATACACATCAGAAAAATTTGCCACACTTTTAACAAATTGGGGTGTTCGTCACACTTTCAGAATTTCCTATTCTCCCACAAGTCAAGCAATTATTGAAAGGACACATCACACTCTAAAACACATTATAGACCAATGAAAGGGGTAAATGCCTCAATCCACACCTCAGATGAGGTTGTGTAAAGCTTTATACATTTTTAATTTTTTAAATAGCTCATTTGCAAAACCTAATCCACCAATTTTTAGGCATTTTCCAAATAACATACAGGCAAAACTGAAAGAAAATCCTCCAGTTTTAATTAGAAACCCTGAGACAGGACAAATTGAAGGTCCATTTCATTTAATAACCTGGGACAAAAGGTTTTCTTGTGTTTCCACAGGTACAGGACCTAAGTGGATTCCAGCTAAGAATATATTACAGTGCACTGACAATTCCATGAGCAGGGAAACGAGCACGCAGATGTGAGCCGCACAGAGAGACTACAGTTCATGCCTGACATCCTCTGCCCAACCTGCAAAAACTGTGAACCTTGGGTTTTATATCAAAACTGTAAAAATCGTTGGTATCATAGAGCTCTTTTGGCAAAAACTTGGTGTCCATTGTGTTAAGAAGAATTCCAAGATATCCAGATTTGCAAAACTGAGTGTAAACAGGACAATTTAGTGCCTTATAGTTGGCCAGTCCCTGAACAAATCTGGGGAAAAAAACCCTGAAAGTACCAAAAGATTTGCTTGGAAATTGAAATACGTGGAAAAGCCTTTTTCCAAGAGTAGCTGAACAAAAACATGGAGTTAGATCAAATGATGTATTGGTGCTTGTTAGTTTTGCTTGCTTGTTTTTGCAGTGCAGATATGCCTGTAGATCAACCAAAAACAAATGTTTGGGTTGCTTTAGCCAAGTCAGCAGGCTCAGACACCATATGTTTTACCAATTCGGGCCCAGACAAACCCTTTGCAACTTGTTTGGTCGGTGTGCCAGTGCCAGCCAGAGAGTGGCCAATACCTAACCCTGACAATTATTGGCGTGCAGTTGCCAATGAGACAAATCCTGTAACCAACTGGTATCATTGGGCCTCTGATCTCCTTAAAGCACCCTTTGAACCTCAAGAATTGGAAATTCTTGGTTCTTTGACACTGGAATTGTGTGCTGAGTTTCAGTATCAAGGAGATCCACAGTTAAATATTACTCTCCATCATTCTGTGTACAGCAACTCTAGTTTTTGGTGCGATTGTATCACCCCTGTGTCCCCTAGGGGTAAGACTGTTGATCTTCATGAATTCCCACGGCAATTGCCAAAAGGATATTGGCTCATTTGTGCAGATAGAGCCAGGCAGGGCATTCCCTCAAAAATTAAAGGTGGCCCATGTAGCATCAGACAGCTCACCGTGATAGCACCTAGTGTTAAAAAGGCCATCAAGAAAAAACACAGAGGAAAGAGGTTTGCCCATCATTATGAAGAAAACTATAACAGCAATAAACCCTGGAGCCCTGAGTTACATCAGGTTTGTTTTTACCTCAACTTGCCTCAGCTGTAGCATTAAAACAATTAGACCAGTTGGGGTGCTGGTTGAGCAAAGAAACCAATGCCACTTCCTGTAATTAGTGATATGATGATAGCTGTTCATACTGTTAGACATGCAACCTCACAGAACAGAGCCACCATTGAGTTTCTCTTACTGGCACATGGGCATGGTTTGTGAAGAATTTAAAGGGTTGTGTTGTATGAATTTGTCTGACCATTCAGAATCCATCCACAAACAGCTTAAAAAACTGAAAGATTTGGCAAATCAAATTAAATGGATGATGGATCATGGTTAGATGATTTGTTTGAAGGATGGAACTTTAAACCTTGGCTAAAGGAACTTTGCAAAATAGGTTTATATGTATTGATTGTTGTAGTAGCGATATTAGTGATAGTGTCTTGTGTACTTCACTGCGCACAACAGATGATGAATAAGACCATCAAAGAAGTTTTTACCATTCAAGAAAGAGGGAGAAATGTGAGAAACAGAATTGTAGAGGGTTCTCAGGGCCTAACTGAAAGCTCACATAGTCTTGTACGTCTGTATACAATCTCTGAGATAAGGTGTGCTGACTTAGCTAGACCATGGAATAGAGAAGACATTGTTGAGAAAAAGATTGAACTGGAAACAGGTTTCAAATTATGGCCTTGCAAACAGACCAGATATTTTAGAGTACAAGAACTGTGAAAGATGCATTGTAGCAAGACCACATGGGGTAAAATACCAGGTGATTGGTGTTAGAAGTGCTAGCAGCACTGTGCAGCAAATGCTAATAGGCTGAAAAACATTTATAAGGTATTGTAACCAGGAAACAGGTTGTCTTCTGATGAGATGTCATTGAATGCAACATCTTAAAGGTCTCTATGAGACTGATAATGGAATAAAACCTTTTAAAGCTCCTCTCAGCTGCCCCATCTCTATAGAGTTGGGTTCTTCCAACACTGAAGAACGTGGCCACTGCCCAAAAAGTAATGCAGGCTGTTCATTCTTTGGTATGAGCAGACTCATAGAGTTTCCTTATTGGTACACTTACTTCAGAAAAACACAGAAGCAAATATATTCCTGTATGGTAATGACATCCAAAGTAACTTGTCATGTTTATTATGAATAACAGAACAGACTACATCCCTGGATTTGAAACACTTTTACTTTCCTCCAACAAGTTAATAAGAATTCATTGAAGGACACTCCAAAAAACCCAAAACTTAATTGTATGTAGTTATATGTCCCTAGTTACTGACTTTAGGTGTTGGAATCTGAAATAAAAGCCTCTCTGAGTCCCTCAGACAGAGAAAAGAAATAAAATATATTAAACTTCATAGACATTAAATAATAGTGTAAGTTTAAGTAAGTAAAAATACAGTTTAAATTAATTAAGAGTCTGTGTTAGCTAGTGAAAAGCCTTAAGGCCTAGTTTAAAGTTTAGTAGGGATACCCTTGACAGATTCAACTTAGTTCCAGACATAATGAAAATATAGCATGCATTCTTAGAACAGATAGGATTATTCACGTAAACAGATAATACTCTGCATGTAGGATTTAGGTAAGGACTGACACAGCTTTTGCATGTTAGAATTAAGCTTAGATTGGTGTAGAAAGAATGTTTTAGAATTGTGTTTTTAGCTGATTGGATGATTTACAAATTTAATCCCCTGTATTAAGAAGAGGAGCACACACACATACAGGAAGAGGAAGAACAGCAGCACCAATAACATTACTAGAAGAGCTACTACAACTGCTTCTGCTGCTGCTGCCCAGATCATCTGGACTTGCCAAGAAGCTGCTGCTGCCCAGACCTGTGGGACCTTATGCTGAAAGATTTTAGCATGGACTTTAATACTCTGAACTCTTTACCTTTGAGATGCACCCATACAATAAACACCTTTATAGCAAACAACAGTTGCTCTTTTCTCCCCGAGACCCAGAGACCCCCATGAACAACTCAACATTCAGGGTTAGATCTCCTCATTGGGCTAAAAATCCTATCCAGAGTATCAAAGAGGTAAAAATCTTCAGAACTGTGCAGAGCTCATTTGCAGTGAAGAGGTGGCTGCTCAAAATCAGAGACAAAACACCACCAGCTAGGGTGGTCAAAGTAAGCTGTGATTTTTAACAGTGTCTATCTTATTTTATTGATCACTGACTTCAGAAAAATAAGACTTAGACTGTTTTATGTACTTTCTGACAAATAGCAATCCCAAATGATTTAGTGCAGTTTTTCAGTTTTACTAAGTTTTTAATTTTCTTTGGAGACTGTTCCCATACAGAAGCTGCAAACAGAAAAGCACCCAGAACAGACCTAATTTGGGTGATCTGCTCGTCAGAAAATGCTGCTGGTTTAGATGCTAAGGGAAACTATCAGGACAAAGTCCCTGCAAAAAAGACATCACTACATCTTCCATCATTGTAAATGACTAGTACACTTCTTTTCTAAGTACACTTACTGTCCACACCGTTGTAGCTTCATCGAGTCGACGGACTTGTATTTCAAAAGATATTGCCAGCTCAGCATCATGTGCTGACTTGACAACATCCCATTCCACCAGCAGCCGCTGAAGATCTAAATCCTTGGAAACGTTAAGGTATGTTACTGGAAACACATTGGATTCTAGGAGCAAAAAAAGGGCACAAAAATATTACTGTCTTGCTAAGTTACAAAGCAGTTCTGAAAAAACAGTGGTCAGAAGTAAGATAGATCCCACAACAGATGACTCTGAAGGAAAAAGCAGAAGTGATGAGGTTCCTGAATCTATTCAATACCTCCCCAACATGATATTTGGTATGCTGTTTAATTTCTTTATGCTTTCAATTTACTAGCTGTTTTATCAAAATACAAATCCATTCCTTCGTAATCTTCTGGAGGGGAACAACATAATGTATTAAGAGGGACCAAATCCCAAAAAATCTCAAACCCCAGCAAGCCTTCATATCATTAGGGCAGAAACTCTGGGCTCAGTTTTGATCTCTGACTTAATCCAAACTAAATGAGATTAATTAGTTAAACTAAACGAATGCAAAACCAATATTTGAACAGAATAGGCTAAGGGTTTACCTGCAATAGCTAGCTTAGATGATAGTCTATTATTAAGCACATTCCTAGTTGCTCTACACAGAGCTTAGGTCATGGCTGTAGATTCTTCTACTGGAATTAGACATCTAGTTCTTATGGCACTTGCATCATTCTCCTGGTCTGGATTCAATTCCAGACCATAACATGATAAATTAAAGTTTAAAAGTCAGACTGAAGTCTCTTTTGGTGTTGAGATATAAAAGGCCCTGAAAGATTGTTCTGCTGAAAACTAGAAACAACCATGTAAGTGGTTCCTCTTTTAGATGATTCCTTTATGATCCCTCCCTAAAAACCCAAACTGCTGGAAGACATGAAATATAGCAATCACAGATTTGTCATTTCTCTACTTCCTGAAAATTAAACAAGCAAACCTTAATCCCCTAAATTTGACCTAGTTGTTAATGAAGCCAGGGAGCTGAAACATCCAAGTAACTAGGCTTTTTCTTTTGCCACGGGTGCTTTCCAATGTGTTACTGCTTGTTACAAGATCAGAATATTTATCCTAACCAAGACACAGGAAAAAAAGTCACCAAAATAGCTGCACCTTTTAATAAAAGAGAAGTCATTCTGTGCATTCCTGCCACATTACAGCCAGAGTCATCAGGGACTCGATGGTCTGAGTGACCTCAGGAGCCCCCTCTCACAAAATTGTCACTTCTACTTCAGTCTCCCAGATACACTTCACCCACTGAACTACCTGAGATTTTCACCATGTATCACTAGCAGAAACACAAGCATTCAGGAGATTTAGACTGAGAATCTACATTTTGATAGATGCTTCTGGTAACCATCACATATCCAAATAATTCTGCAATTTATCCTGCAGTATCTGCATTACCCTAACCTCTGTGCAGCAGTTTTCAGACACAGGGTTTTTTACATTAGGAGAAGGGAATGAAAGGCTTAGGAGAAGCAGCAGTTATAACAATCTTTGGTCAATAAAAGGAAGTAAATAAAACTTTATAAGCATATTTGTTAATTATGAGAATATAGACACTGACACAACTTTGTTGTTTATATTAGTCCAGTGTATAATTAAAGAATAAATGGAGAAAAGGACATATTTTACTGTTAGTACAAAGTTATTAAAAACTGCTGGAAGAAAGGATTCTCTTTTAGAAAATCATCCAAAAAAAATCTGTTGGGATATTTTTAATCTATTCCATTCTCAAGACTACTAGAAGTCAGATCAAAATGAAAACCATATGCTTTCCATCTAGAGGAAGCTACTGGTACAGGCATCTTCAGATAAGCTTGAAGAAATCAAGTTTCACTGTTCAAACACATGGTCCTCAGAACAAGGACTATGGTAACTTCAAGTGTTTTCAAGAAAGAAATATATGCAACACACCTTCTATAAAATTTCAAAGTTTACCAGGAAATGATTAACATGTAAATTACATGAAAGCAGAATTGACAACCTTAGTGTCTCTGCAAGGTAAGTGCAAAATGTTTCACATGCAAAAATTAATTTTCCTTATTGGCTATGGTAACGACATGATACTTAAAAAGTGTATCTGCTGCTTCACAGCTGCTTTTGAAAAACAATGGGCATCAGTTTTATACTGCCATAACAAAACCCAGTACTATGACAATTACTTTCTGAAACTGAATAAACAAAGTGGAAGGCCTGGGGGTAAATTTCACTGAATGATGATGGAGCATCAATTTTAGGTTTTACCGGAAAATAGAAATATTATTAGCTTCACTGCCAACAACTGACTAGGCAAGGAGCCAGAACAACCAAAACAACATAGTGATTCATAAAATTAACTGTGGAAGTGGAGTATTATTTTATTTTGGGAAGCACACTTCATTTTCCCACATTTTACAGACTTTCACCATCAAAACAAGCTACACACTGTTAAAATCCTTTATGCTAACAGATTAACTGTAATGTTGTTCATCTCCAGTATGCAATCTTAGCTGCTCATTTTCTGGCCAGCCTTACTTGTACATTCATCATCCATTTACCTAAAGCACCATGTAGCAAATCCCTTGGGGAATCTCATTTCACATACACAAGCTGATCTAGAACTCTGGGCCTTGCCATTTTTGTTTTTTCTATCTGCACTGCTGAAGCAAGAGAGGAAGAGAGGAACTGGGAGAAGGAAAGGGCCCTGCTAGTCTCTCAATGAAATTCAATGGCACAAAGTGTAAGTCCAGGGAAAGGAAACAAATACACCTGAAAAAAAAGGCCAGCCAGTTGGCAGAAGCCCATTTCTTCTGCAGGGTGCACCATTAAAAGACATTTCTGCACATCTTCTGTATTCTCTACCCTCTTTCTGCTCTTTTTGTAGCAGATTCTAATTGCAGATGTCACTATTATGCCTATTGTGTTGATGATGAGCTTACATCTCCTCCATGCATCTGTTTTCATTTTTGTCCAAATGAATATATCATCCCTTTCCTCACCATAAATAATATTTTTACCTGCCACACTTAGTTTGAATAAAAGAACAGCAAACATGTAATTAGTTTCTGTTTTTTCTCCACCTGTACTAGTGTCCATCCACTATCTCTCTTCAGCTACATATCACTTCACACCTCACACTATTTTGTTTTCCACAGACTCTGGTGTAAGACAGTCTAGATAGATCATCCGTTGGTGCTTATATGCAGTACTAAAAAAATAGAAGAAACAATATAGTTAAGGATATATCCAAAATTTTGATGACCAACAAGTTACAATGTAGGTATTAAATAATTTTATGGCACAATTTTAACATGTGAAAATATTTGCAGCATTCACAGTTACAATATTCTCTCCTAGCAAAATTAAGTGATCAAGGCATCTTAAGACTTGTTTTAGCTTGCAAGCTAGCACAAGACCATGTGAATTGTTATGATTAACAACACAGACTAATTTTATTCCTGAAAAATTGCATGTGAAAACAAGTGACCAAGTTACTGTAATGAAGTAACTGTTTGGACTTGCCTGCATTACAAAGTTTTGCCATTCTATGAGCCCTAGTAATAAGTCTCAAAACTGAGACTTGGGTGAGTGGTGTGCAAACACTGAATTTCAATGCTGAAGGGAGACAAAATGTCTGAAATAGATATATTACCCCTGCAGTATGATAATAAATGTATTTTAAAAAACCCAAACAAGTATCTTCTTTCTTCACCAAATTAAAAAAAAAAAGGCAAGAAAATCTCCATAATGCAGACTAGAGCCTGGTAAGGTCTACCTTCTTAGTGGTAGTCATAGAAAGGTCATGTAAAAATTTTCTTTTTCCTTTTAATGGAGACATACCCAAATGCTATTGCTAGCAGCAACTACACAAGAAGTATTTTTACCTTAAAATACACACCCTTCTGCAAAGTTATCATTATATTCAACATTTCCCCCTTCAAATATGCATATTTTTGTATTTATATTGGATAAATATGTGAAATGCAAAAAATAAAAATCTGGTCTTGGAATCTTGTGGCAGAATGAGAAAAGAGCCAACAGAAATGCTAAAGTTTTCAGAGATGAGACAAAAAAAAAAAAAAAGAAAGAAAAAAAACCATAAAAGTTGTTAAAAAGGAAACATTATTTGAAGATGACAGTACAGATCATAGGAGAAAGAGGAGGAGAAAATAAATAAATAATTACACTTTGGCTTCACATCATTGGAAGTTGTTGATTCAACAGGCAATTTTGTTGGGGGTCACAAAAGGTAATAATGAAATTTGCTCCATCATCTTACCAAAGTGAATAGTTTGATTAAATGTGTGACATGTTGCTTAATCAGAGATTTACAAATCAGAAAGATGAAAGCTTCAGTTGCTGTAGACAGCTTCTAAATAAAAAAAAAATCAAACATTCTGACATTTACCTTGCTGTGAGTATGTAGTGTAGCACGTCCTCAGGGGAAGCAGTAGTGCCAGAATCATGAAGTGATTCATCATTAGTCCACCTTTTCCTGCAAAAGGCTTAATAGCAAAGAAAACATTTTTATTTATTTGTTTCTTTCAGGAGAAATGCAGCATGCCAAACAATAGTCCAGATAATATTACTATATTTAAGAATGAATAAATAAAAATCCAATCATACAGACTCCAGGAAGCCTTAGAGGAGTTCAGGAAGAATGCACAAAGAAAGATAAGGAATGAAAAAAGCAAACCTCTTGTTTTTAGCACCTAGTTACAGCAAAGTAGCACTGTAGTCAAAAAGTTCAATTGAGTCTAAACAAATCACACAGTATCTTTAATGTTTTTTATCCACTTATTTCAAATAAATATTGAAGTACAAGTTTGTCCTAATATCATTTGGCTTTCTCTCTGCACAAGTAAGATATCCATCCTAACAAGGGGAAAAGAGCATTAAAAGTGCAGAACACCTTGTGATTTCTGCTCCACCTACAGCCAGACTGATGAATTCAGCAGACTCCTTTGTCAGCATCCAGGACACTATATATGGAGGGCTTTAGTTAGACTGGAACACACATATCAAATCTTAGCAAGTTCCATTCCCAGATGGACTGTCAGCTCAAGAACCACAGAGCTCTATCTCGCATTCCATTTACAGCTTTGACACTCACACTCTGCCAGGGTGAAACTCTAACCTGCACAGCCCAATTCTGAAGGATTGATTGTATGTTAGATCTTGGAAGACATGGATCACCTGCAAATTCCCCCATGCAGGAGGCAGAGCTTGAACATCAGGCTGCAGTATGCTTAAAGCTCTCAGGCACAGAGGGTACAAGGAGTACAAACAACAGGAACAGGATAATGGATACAGCTATCTTTAACGTAAAACTTGTACCTTTTACATTTCTGAAGCTTTGCAGAATACTGATAGTCTCCTATCACTACTTCCATTAACAGACGTTGCTTAGCAGAAGATAACCAAAATGACCTGTCCCCAGTAAAGCTAAGAACAGAAAATCTACAGAGTTCGGAAGGGCCAGCAATTCACTATGGAATTTATTTCTAGCAGAAAACTCCTGATTTAATACCTCAGAGTTCCAGAATCTTAAGTTTAATTAGATTTAATGGTTTTGAGAATCTCTGAATTCCTCAGAAGGATAAAAGGAAAGACTTCAAACTTTTTTTTTTAAATATGCTTCTAAAGCTCTCATGAACACTGTAGTGTAGCCTCGCTTGCAGCATTGCAACCCAGGGCTCAATGCACACAAGTAACCTTGCTGCAGTGTGCCCAAACTTCTCCTTGTGAGCTCAGATGCTACACACGGAGGCCCCCATATTTACCAGGTGACTGTTGCCATGCCTAATGCATAAGCTTCTGCAATCTTTCCTGCCACTAACAAATAGCCTCAGAAGTATTTATATAACACTAAGATCACCATGTATGAAGAATCTAAATATTTCTGTGAAGCGAGGCATAATTTGCATGCAACTATTAGACTATTCCAAAAACTGATTTAGGGAAATCTCTTTTTCCTAGATTTTCCAAGGGTTTTTAAGCACCTAAAAGGGAAAATAATTTTCTATGTATTGTCTGGAATAAACAAGACAATATAGAGAAGAGAGTGGTAAGTAAATGACACAAAAAGAAACTTTTTCAAGGCAGATCATGTTAAAACTTACGGTAACTCCTTCAGCAGATTATTGTTTCTTGAATTGTATGAAAATATATTAAGATTCAAAGCCAAATCTTACAAACTCTTTTTTCTCCCCTCCCAGGAAAAACATGAAACTAAATCTGCTTGCAAAGTCAAAGGACTCAACTCTCTGCTCCAAGACTGTTTAACACAAGGGTGCTCAGTTAGGTTCAGCAGCCTGTCTCCTGACTTAATTATGTCAGCATGATGAAAATCTGGCCCTGAAATACTCCTAATTTTGTAAATATCTTTGGGGTTGGAATCACAGACTTTCCCCATTGGTTATGAATCATTTAAATCCAACATTAAAAACAGTGGGAAGGTACTACAGAATACTGACATATTAGACTATTTGTTTAAGTTACTTCCTATTTGGAAAAAAAATCCCAACTTTTTTTTATTCTCTTAAGAACCATTCTCAACTATTGTTATGAAACCAATGTCTAATTTAACTATCTAGCTCCAGTCATTTACACTACCAGTTCACTAATGTCATAGCCTAGATCACTTTTATTGATAAAAAATTCTTATGCTGCTAAAGAATAGTGTAATATAATAAATGATTACCAAAATAAAATCATATTTTGGATAGTGACAATAGTTTTCACTATCTGGTACGTTAGTAATCTAGTTTAATATATGCGCAATTATAGGCAACAAACCGTTTTCATGAGAAAAGTCCTAGAATTCTGTAACAAAAGAGAATATGAAGTAATTTTAAATAGTTCAGGAAAAACTAGTTGAGAAAAAATAAATAGGGTCCTTAATATATGAGTAATATTTTTAACTAAATCCTCTTTATTCAGAAACATTTGCCAATGACTAACAAATTAATCACACATAATAATTGCCACCAATGAATGTCAAGCACTTATACTGTATTATTAATAATTAAATACTTTTATAAAATCATAATTTATAAGTCTGTGTCTTAGCTACAGTTTTACAAAATACATTACCAAGTTAATTAAAAAAAGAAAAAAGGGAAAACCAGCAAAATTACAATATATTAACATCCTTGCCAAAAGTGAAAAATAGAACAACAAAGGGAATGAAGACATGTAGCCAGAAAAGGGGAGATACTGAGTAGCAAGTTGAAGTTAGTCTGGCACAAAATGATCCGTCAGAACTACAGATGTTAGCTGAGTAATAAATCTTTCATTTTTAGTGTACATTCTTATACCCCAAATTCTCTGGGGGAAATAAAGCAGACTTGTTTGGTTTTATCAGCCTCCAGGCTAAAACACTAGTTGTTGGGTTTTTTTTAAAACATAAACTCATAGTCTACTTAAAATTGTCCTGTTGGAAAAATGTAACCTGGGATGTGACAAAACAGATACAAAGGGTTTCAGGACTCCTCTGCCTAATTTGAAATTAATCAGCAATTAAATAGAATACAACTATATTGGAGAAATGACACCAACTGAAATAATATTCAGCAGCAACAGGAATTGTTCAGATTAAACACAATTAAAGAGGAGTCATTCGAGAAGTGGAGACAGCATAGGAGCAAATTACCTTTGAGAAAATGAAATTTCCTTAACTGTGTGAATATTTTAAATAAATATCACCAGACAGAGTATTTCTCCTTCAGAGCTAAAAGCTAGTTTATATGATCCCTGAAGTCCTGTCCAAGCCAAAGTTTTGTGATGCCATGGATGAAATGAAAAAGAAATTCTCATTATTTACCTAGTAAATGCACCAAAGATTAACATTTCATCAAACCCTCCTTCAAAGTCACCGAAATACCAAAATTCAATTGGGAGTTGGAGCTAAACAGTGCACATACTGTTGCAGCACCTGAAACACCTGTGTGTGTAAGGAAAAGAAGCTCCTGCTATGAACATCTAGTCAAAGCTTACTGCAGAGTTAATCTGTTTTGTAGCAATCTTCCTAAAGGCACATATTTCAAATCTTACTTGATACAACTTTGTTTTCTCAGTACCCTTTGCTTTGCTTATTTAGAACAGCTGGCAAGCACAAGCCAAATCCTTAAATGAACCTGAGCATGTACACAGGCTGAGAAAAGAAATCTTTCCAGTTCCAGAATACTTAATCTATTTAATGGAGAGTATTAGTTATGTATAACAACTCATAAACACTATGGACTGAACAAACTTTTCTAAACCAGATATGGAAGAAGACTGTCAATGAGGCAAATCAAGTAGCAATACATAACACTGTTCATCCTATGTTGTTATTCTCTCTACTTCTGAGGGAAGCAAACTGAGGATCAGAATCACAATCCAAGTCTCTACCACACAACACAAGATTGATAACATAAGTGATATCTTAGTGCCAAAAATCTAATAAACTATCTACAGGCTACAAAGAGGCATCCCTAAAGAGTTAGCAGAGCACAGATACACTACTAATCCTCCTAATGTGTATTTTTTGTCTCTTAAATAAAGAGATAATTAGGTAACTGTCAAAAGGAGCTGGAAGGCCCTAGAAGTCAGAGCTGCATGTCAAAGACTTTTGTACAAAGTCAATGATTTGTACAAAGACTACAATATACAGTGTCTCTGCTCTCCTGATTTCTGCAATTCCCAATAGACCCTTTCCCAAACCAACAGTGCAGAGCCAACATACAACTAAGGCAGTTTTCTTTAAACGAGAAGGAGTGTCAAGACATCAGGAACCTATGGAGTGTTGGTAAAGTAGTATCTATTAAACACATCCCAGCTAAATAGATGCCTTCTAAAAACAAACATCACACTTTATATAGAAAATTGAGAATTTTATTGTCAACAATCCTGAATACTAAAAAGAAAACTAATATCTGAGATACCACATTCTTAAGAGGATGAATCTTTCCTCTAGTCCTTGTACTTTCTTTTTTTCCCCAAGCAATTTTAAAGGTGGTTGCAATTACACTTAGTACACAAAATACTTCTGTGTATAAGACACTGAAAACTCCTAATGAGCCTTTTTAACTTAATGGCTGAGCAACAAGTTTAAAAGGCTGCATAAGAAAGAAACACAAAGTAATTTCTATAATTAGGGCCTGATACACACATAATAATTTGACCACTGAGGGGTAGCTTTATCTACTGAGTAAAAACCAGAAAACTCTTTGATGCATGCTTTACTAAAAAGCTCTGCCAAAATACAAAAGCATGTACTTCATGGTCCCACAATGACAAGAATTCAAAGAAAAAAAGCAGTTGAAATAGGAGGAAAATGAGATCTAAAATTTTATGAACTTGGTAAAACTACTCCTGTCCCACCAGAAAAGAAACATCAGCAATTGTAGAGAAGTAATTTTTCCAGCATTATCTACCTGCAACTCTGTTAGGATCTATCTGGTTTGCCCTGCTGGAGTTTTGTCCAGGCATGGAAAACTTAGATTAAAGGAGAGTCAAAAAGGTTATGCCAAAATAATAGTCAAATTCCAAAAATTTCAGGAACCACACTGGAACTTATGTTTTCTTGTTTATGAAAATGGCCTTGAGATCCAGCAACGGATTTCAACTGCTTAAAAGAAAGTGGGAGCAACAGGTTTTCTCTGCGAAATGATGTCAGGTTTAAGGGTCTGGGATCGTATTTCTGAGCAAGTCAACACCTTCCTGAAGCAGCGGGCACACGAAATGTTGAAACCAAACCCTAATCACCTCTGGCAGGTGCAGCATCCTCATCCCACGAGGTACCTCATCTAGGTAATTTTTGCTCAAGTCAAATCAGCAACTTTTAGGCTGTAGTTAAGCCATAGCACCCTGAAAGCAGAGGAGACTAGACGGTCATGAAGCGACTCAAATTATCGGTATGCGATGATGCTGGCTGGTTTCCGGAGGAGGGAGATGCGGTCCGAGGCGCCGCTCCAGCCTTCCCGCACCGCCGTACCGAGGGGTGCCTGCAAAACACGGGAGAACGGGCGAGCAAAGGGTGGAGAGGGTATTAGAAGTGCTAAAATTCAAAGTAAAAACTCCACAGCGCGCTTCAAACCATGCGCCGGAGTGGAGAGGTGGGTGTTTCTCAGCGGGACAGGCAGAGATCCCCTCAGCGGGGCTGAACGGGACGCTCGCGGAGGATGGACAGGAGAAAGGGGGGGTGTCACTGAGGGAACGGGGGCTGCCGTGGCAGGGAGACACCGACATCACTCACCTGCAGCCGCCGGGAGCTCCCTCACGGCCGGGGTTAGCCGGTTCCCCGCACGCCGGGACGTGCAGGCCCCCCCGGTCAGTGCCGGGAAGCGGCTCGGCCGCC